AAGAGACTGGCCCAAGGTCACACAGCAGAGCCTGGCCAAAAAAGGGAGTTTCCTGACTCCTGGCTCAGTAGCTTCTCCCCTGTATCATGCTACCTTCCACTCTGTGCAGCAGCCATCCTACTGGGAAAAGAAGGTTATAACGTCCCACCAGCTTAGCTTCTTTTCCCTCTGTTGATAGTCCCTCCTTCACTCATTTCCTGAGTGCCCTCACTGTGCCCTGCTTGAGAATTCAAGATGACTAAGTCATGCTGCTTACCCGAGAGGCACTCACAGTCGAGTGGTCTGGAAGCTTCTGCCTTCTACCACTAACAAAGACATCTTTTTCTAACTGGTAAAAAAAAATAAAAAATAAAAAAATGCTCGGAGGCTAATTTTTTTTTAAATGCACTGTTTTGTTTGCTGCTGTCTTAATTGTTGCCGTGTTATATTTTATCAGTTTAATGTTTTAATTTTGTGCTTGGGCCCTGAGGCAATTCAGTGAAGGGTATGATTTAGAAAATCAAGGAAATAAAAAAATTGTCCACAGAAGAGGCAGCCTCCCAGGAGCCAAGGACAAAGCATAAGTGCCTAAAATGAATTTTATTAGGAACAAAACAAAAACAAACAACCTGTTGCCAGACAGAAGGTATTAGACCATCCTGGTTTTGTTTTTGTTTTTTAATTTAATAGCGGTTCTTCATTTTTCTCCAAGGTCAGCCAAAGACTCATGACCCAGTACCCTCTCCATTGACCTCTAGAAGCTTCCACATTTCTGCTTCTGGGCTTGTACTCACAACATGTGCCTTATCTGCTCTGCCCTCCTTTCTTCCTCAGGAGACAGACTATAACCACCCTTGCATTTGCCAATATTTGTTGACTGGGGTTAGGGATAACACAGCCAACAAGATAACCTCAAATCTGCCATAGGGGAATTTATTCCCTACTAAAGCATTCATTCTCAATGAGGGTGATAATGCCCCAAAGGGGTGAAAATCAGTTTTTGGAGGGGTGAAAAGAAGCTTTTATTTACCCAAATATTTGTATGCTCATCAGCCTGTTGACTTATCTCAGTCAGTGGCCCATCCGGCCACCCAATCAGGAACCCAGGCATTGCCATCATTTGGAGTTGTCAACTGTCTTCCAGCTCAGGCTGCTGGTTATCAACCTCATGGCCCAATCCATGGTGGCTTCTGCTTTTTCCCTGAAAATTGAGACTCCATCTGTCTCCACTTTCCTCCCTGCCCAGTCTAGATCCCGGAGCCCAGAGACTGAGCATCTCTCTTGCCAACATTTAGACCCCTGTGCCTCTTTTCCTCACCCATCTGACAAAACCCAAGGCCTCTAGATAAACCCTACTAAGTACTTTCCCCCTGCCTGCACCTGAGTAGGTGAGCTGTGAAGGAGGAAACCTCTCAGTGAGATGGGATAGGACACACGTAAATTAACGATCACCAGCTTCAACTGGGTTGTCAACATTGTCAGGCAACTGGGGATTTTGTGGGCAAGTTTGCTTCCCAAGTCGGAATGCTCATTCTCCTCCTTCCTCCAGACTCTTCACCACCTCTTCCTCGCTCTCAGCAGAGGACCTTGCCTCCCACTTTGAAGAAAAAATAGAAGCTCAAGATGAAATCTCCCTTAACATCCCACTACAAACCTACATCTACATCTGCACCCATCCTCTCTTTGTTCCTTCTTTTGGTTCTAGAGAAGTCATCCCTCCTCCTCTCCGAGACCAACCCCTCCACCCACATGCCTGATCCCATTCCCTCTTGCACATGCTCCTGAACATCACTTGCTGATTATCTCCCCTATTCCCTACACCCCTAATTAAACTCTCTCCCCTTGATCTGCCTTTAAACAAACCCAGCTCTCTTGCACCTTATAACACACCTCCTCCGACACACACACTGACCCTGTCACATTGTCTCTCTTCTCCCCTTCATACAGAAACTTCTCAAAAGACTCACTGCCTCCCTTACCCCTCCACTCATTAGACCACCGCCACCTGAGCTTCTCCGTCACTCCAAGAAGTAGCACTCCCTAAAACCATCAACAATTGCCACAGCTGTCATTAAAACAAAGCTCACGGTTCCATCCTCATCCCATCTGACTTCTTAGACCATTCCCCATGGGCTTGACCCACTTTCCTGAAACTTTTCCCTTGCCTTCCTTCCCTACACCCACCCTCCTGGGTTTTTTCCTACCTCTCTGTTTGCTCCTTCTTGGCCTTTGCAGGCACATCCTTGTCTGTGCAGCCCTACCCTGGGGGTACACCTCAGGGCTCCCTCCTGGGCCACCTTCTCTCCTCTGTCCGTGTTCTGCTCCTTGGGCAACCTGGCCCTCAGCCACAGCCTCAGTTATCATCTCTCTTCTGACAACTTCCCACCTTCTTGTGGGTCTAAACCCAGGCTCCCAAGTGCCTACCCGACATCTGTACTCTATGTCTCAAAGGCATTCCAAACTCCACCTGGCTAGAGTGGAACTTGTGCTTTTCATGCCCGCTCCCCCTTGTCACCTTCTCCCTGCTCTGCCCCCACCCCAGTCCTCTCCAGTCTCCCCTTTCTCAGGGAAAGTGGCTGCCTGCCAGGCTGCACAGAAACTTTGCAGTCCATCCGATGACACTCCCTCTGCCTTGCCCTCCATTCCAACACATCTCTATGATGACTTTACTTCCTGATGACTCTGGGATCTTCCACCACTCTCCACCTCTGCTGCCACCAGTATCGCCCTATTAAATTCTGCCTGGATGCCTGCCTGCACTCCTAACCCTAACTTGTCTTCCGGCACATACACATATGTACCCTATTCCACTCTCCACTGGGCATTCACACAGGTCACATTAAAATGAAAAATCTATCCTGTCCTTCGTGGGCCTACACTGTCAGTGGCTTCCTATCATACTTAAGATGAAAAGAAAGATTCTTTTTTTTTTTAAAATTTTTTTTATTTATTTATGATAGTCACAGAGGGAGAGAGAGAGAGGCGCAGAGACATAGGCAGAGGGAGAAGCAGGCTCCATGCACCGGGAGCCCGATGTGGGATTCGATCCCGGGTCTCCAGGATCGCGCCCTGGGCCAAAGGCAGGCGCCAAACCGCTGCGCCACCCAGGGATCCCCGAAAAGAAAGATTCTTAACATGGAATTTGCCTGTGTCCACCTTCCACCTTCCTCAATCCCCCTGCTTTTCCTCTACACCCTGCTACCAAGGCCTTTTCTCACCTCTTTTCTCTTGCATGGGTTCTTCTCTCTACCCCGGGGGTCTTCCCACACCTTCCACCCAGCCATTCCTCATCCACACATAGTTCGGATTTCCTTGCAAATATCACTTCCTCGGAGAATCCTTCCCCAACCCCCAAGAAAGGATAGATACCTCCTTCCTGTTAAGTGCTTTCACAATAATGGCTAGCATATATATAGGCACAGCACTATTGTTAGACGCTCTTCTGCTTAGAACTCAGTTACTCTTCATGACAACCCTGTGAGGTAGATATTACAATGATCTCTATTTTACAGATGAGGAAGCTGAGGCACAGAGAAGTTATGTAACTTACCCAAAGTTCCCTAGTTAACAAGAAGCAAAGTCAGAATTTGAACCCTAGCTGTGTGACTCCGCACAATATTTACTGTTCCACAAGAAAACTCAATGCTTTTCCTCTCTGCGTGTATGCACTATTTGTAACAATTTGTAACTTCCTACACTGTTTAGCAAGTGTCTCTTCCTTCAAACTCTAAACTCTGTTGGGGTGGAGACTACTTCATCCCAATAGTAGGTACTGAATAAATATTTTACTCAATGGCTAAACGCAGGTTAGTCTCCTCCCTCTTTCTTCCTCACTGCCTTTGGTCACCTGGTCCTATCCCTGTTTCTTCCTGGAGAAGGAGTTCTTAACTCTAGGTGATTCAATTATGTGCTTATCCATGTCCTAAGACTGGTTTGAAAATGTTATGTCACATTCAAAATTGTCTACAGCAAAGTCTAGGTGGTTCATGCTGTCTTCAGTTTCTCAATGGGTTCATGAAGTTAAAAAGAGCTGATTCAAATATTTCCCAGCCTACCTCACCCTCTCCCTGCCAACCTCCCCTTGACGAGTACAACAGCCTCACATCTAGTTTTGTTCTCCACAAATCCATCCTCCACATTCTGATGATAGCAATCTCTTAAAAACACAAACCCGGGGCACCCTCCCCCATAAAACCAGTCAGAGATTATCTATCACCCTTGGAACAAAGTGCAAGCTCTGCCTAGCAGGAGAGGGTGCTGTAGGGCCTGTTTACTTCTCCATCCTCCTTGTCCTTACTCATCGCCTCTTACCCACAACTACAGCCCACCAACACAGACTGGGTTCTATGTTTGGGCTTCCCAGCCTATGCCAGGGCGATTTCTCCCGTCTATATACAGGCAGTGCCCTCTGCCTGGAATTCCAGTCCTCTCTTCTGCACCTAGAAATTCCTACTCCATCTTTAAGCCTCAGATGAGATGCCTCTTTGGGGTTAGGTGCCCCTCCTCTGTGCTCCCTAGGCTGTGCCAGTCCTCGACAATGCGCGCAAGGCATTGAACCACAGTTGCTTGGTTACCAGATCTCCCTGTGAGCTTTGAGGGTAGCCACCATTTCTTATCCATCCTTTTATCTCTCCATTCCAGGTGAGCAGTAGCCCAAGGTATGGTGCTCAGAAACGATTCATGCAGTAAATGGATAATGACAAATAGTCAGGGATCGTAAAAACTATGGGAAGTGAATAAATGAGTGGGTGACTGGAAGTTCCGGCCCCGAGAGAAATGCAGATTAAGATGTTCAGAGATGAGGGATCCCTGGGTGGCGCAGCGGTTTGGCGCCTGCCTTTGGCCCAGGGCGCGATCCTGGAGACCCGGGATCGAATCCCACGTCGGGCTCCCGGTGCATGGAGCCTGCTTCTCCCTCTGCCTGTGTCTCTGCCTCTCTCTCTCTCTCTCTCTCTCTCTGTGACTATCATAAATAAATAAAAATCTAAAAAAAATAAAATAAAATCTTTAAAAAAAAAAAAAAAAAGATGTTCAGAGATGAGTAAAACCCTATCGCGGCCGTCACAGCGAACAAGGAGGCCAAATCCCTGCGGTGAGCCAATCTGGAGGGTTTAAGAGGGAGTCCTTCCCCTCTGGGCCGGGAGGCGGGACCGGCGGGACCACGCCCTCCCCCGCCAATGGGAAGCCTTGTTGCTCGCCAAGCCTCCGCCCCTTTCGTCCGCCGGGGCGGGGCCGGCCGCTCCAGGCGCTAAGACTACATTTCCCGGCGCGCCGCGCGGCGCGGGAGAAAGAGGAGCCGGAAGTGGGGCGCGCGAGGTCCAAGGGCACGAGGGAAGTGGCGGGCGGGGACCGAGGGGGGCGTGCAGGTGAGCGGACAGGCCCAGCTTCGCCGGCATGGCCGAGGCCAGGAAGCGCCGGGAGCTCCTTCCCCTGATCTACCAGCACTTACTGCGGGCGGGCTATGTGCGCGCGGCGCGGGAAGTGAAGGAGCAGAGCGGCCAGGTAAGCGTGCGCGGGCCGTGTGCTCGGGCCGCGTGCAGGAAGGGCTGGAGAGCGCCCAGCGCCCGACCCTGCGGCGCCCCGGGGGGCGGCCGGGGGTACTCAAGGAGCCGCAGCCTCTGCCGCCCTGTGGCTCCCGGTCCTGGGCCTCAGTTTCCCCAGCCCTGCAGTGGGCGGGCCGGGGTGTGAGATCCGACGCGCAGGGCTTTGTAACTCCCGCGCCCCTTACCTCCACCCGCTTCCTGGTAGCGGCGGTTTAAAGTTTCCCAAGTCCCGGCCACGTGGCTCAGCTCGGCCCCGGACGGCGGGTGGGCTGGAGGGTCGCCGATTGTCGGAGGGGTGGATTGCGAGATCGCACCCCAGGGAAGGGTGAGGAGGCGAAAGGGAGCGCCAAGAGGAGGGGCCAGTGGCCCCTAATGGAGCTGAAGCTCAGGCCCTCATCCCTCCGGAACCGAGGTAGACAGCTCTGGGATGCGAGCTTGTGGTGGAGTCATTGCCTGCTTCGTTTTTTTTCCGCAGCTGTCTCTGGCGCTCAGGGTGCTGGTGATAGAAGGCGGAGCAGGACCCCAGCCCTCCCGGGGTCTACAGTCTTGAATCTAGTAGGGGAGGTGGGCACAGATCAAAGAATCACAAAAGTAACTGTACACTTAACACGTTAGGTGCCAAAAATGAGAAGCATAGGGTGATAAGACAGGGATGGCGAATTGCCCACGTCAGGGATACCCAGCGTTGCTTTCCTGGGGATGTGGATGCTGATTTGAGACCTAAGAGAAGGCAAGTGGATATTCCGGGCAGAAGTGCAAATGCCCTGAGGTCGGAGGCAACTTGTTGCATTTGTAGTGGCCTCTGGAAAGTCCATTGTGGCTGAAGTGTGGAGTACACGGTGACAGAGCGGGTGGGGACCTGGCTGGAGCCCTACTGTAGTTAGTTGGGTCTTCATCTGAGGAGTAGTGGTAAGCCACTGGAGGGTTTTAAGCTGGCAAAGTGGATATTGACCTGATTAGTCATCCCTTTGGCTGTGGTGTGGGGTCTGGTCCTGATGCGTGGCTCCCAGAATCTCCCTAAAGGGCGATGGGCCCTAAGATGTTATTATCCAAGCTTTTCTCCACCCTCTCAACCTTGATTGCTTTCTTACTCCATTTAGATCACTTAACAGGTAAGTGGGGCAAGAGATAGTACCCATCTTCTTTGGGGCATTTGTCTAGGCAAAAGTATCCTGTATCCTGTCCTCATGGAACTTGTACTGTAGCAGGAGTAAATGAACAAATATTAAAAAAAGAAGAAGAAGAAGAAGAAAGTTAATGATAGAGTGTGTCAGGTGATCTTAGGTGTTAGCTATAAAAATAAGGCAGGCAAGGAGGATAAAGAATATCAGGGTTCAGTTATAAATAGGAGGATGGGGAAGCCCCATTGAAGGCCTGACATTTCACCTGAACTTTCACCTCTGAGAAGGCAGAGACCACCTGAAGGAATTGAGGGAGCGAGCCATGTAGTTACCAGGAGAGCATTCCAGACAGAGAGAGTAGCAAGCCCTGATGGGGTCGGTGGCCTGACACATTTGAAGGACAGTGAGGAGGCAGGTGTGTCTGGGGCAGAGCAGAGTGAAATTGGCGATTGGAATCTGTATTATCAGCTCATGTGCAGCGCGCTGGCTAGAATATCTCGTTCAGGCCTGATAGCTTCCTACTAGGCGGGTGCTCCTCTTATCCCCATATTATAAAGGAGCCTGAAGTTTGAAGAGGTGAAGAGATCAGCCCAGCCAGTTAACAGAGGAACTCTGCCTGACTCCATATGCACCCTCTTGGCCATTCTGCCCAGATCTCAGATTCTCAGATGCTGCCCTCACCTCACACTGCTCGCTCAACCTCCCTGGGGCACTCGACACCCTGGGTTCTTGACATTTACAGAGTGGGTCATCTGGCCTCGGCTCCACCGGGCTGGATTCCACCTGGTTCCCTCTGCTTCTACCAAGAAACTGGCACCATTTGGTTCTAGTCTCTTCCCAGTGGATTAATGGATTGTGGTCGTGCCTCCTGGGTGCCTTGGATGTCTGGGCTGTGGTTTGTACGACCCTGGGAAGATCGCCCCACCTGGCCTGTAAAAGACTTGAGAGGTCAGGGGTGAAAAGAGCCCTGTCTTGTGGCCTCTAAGTGTGGAGAGCACCAGGGAAGTTGGGGGCTGCTGGCCTGGAACATTCGAACTCCAGTCTCCCAGAGGTCCCTCTCCCAAACATGTTATCTTAAAAGGTTTTATCTGGAAGTACTTACCCTCCTTGTCTCTGGAAGGTTTGAGTGGTACTAACATGGCCAAGCAGGCCTATTTCTCAGAGCAAAAAGCCTCCCATGAGGTCATGGAGAATTGGGCCCAAGGAGGACCTGTATTGTCCTAGGGGGTTAATTGCTGCTTTCTTTTTGCTTCTCCGCAGAAAAGTTTCCTGACTCAGCCTGTGACCCTTATGGACATCTATACTCACTGGCAACAGTAAGTCTGGCGGGTCTGAAAGAGTGGAATAGGGATACCCCAAACCATCAGCTTGAAAGAAGCTAGGATGCTAATCTGGTCTACAGTCTGGCTGCATAGCCCACTGTGGACACTAGTATCGCTCCTGAGAAGCCAGGTCACAGGTATGGGTGTCTGATAGTGAGAGAGGTGTGATCACTGCTAGTAAGGACCCCAGCTTTTCAGTGGCTTGTTAATCATTCAGTCACCAAACATCTGTTGAGTACCTACCCAGTAAGTGCCAGGTCCTATTTTAAGTATGGAGATACTGTCCTGAGTGAGACAGACATGGTTCCTTCTCTCCTAGATCTGACATTGGAGTCAGGGAAGTAGGCATGCATCAAAGATTGAAACAAATAAATGTAAAGTTAAAATGGTAGTGAAGATTATGAAAAAGGACCCAGTGACAAATCCCATAAACAGGTTAGCCAAGCCTCATTTCGGCTTTAGGGGGAGGTTTGGGGGTTTAGGGGAGGTTTCCCTGTGGTGACCTTTGATTTAAGGGCTGCAGAGAATGGGGGAGTGAACGAGGCAATAGGTCTGGAGATGAAGGTGGAGCAGACCTGGCAGGGGAAATTGCCGGTGTAGAGACCTGTAGCTGCAGCCACAGGATAGAGGAGGTTGGACGGTTGGCAGGGCCCATCCCAGGCAAGGCCTCATCATCCATGGTGAGAAGTTGTGTCTGCCCCAAAACCAGTGGGAGCCATGAAAGGGTGAAGTAGAGACGGGTGAGATCACTCTGCAGGATGGCGTGGCTGGTTGGGGCTGTGGACACCATCATCCAGGCAAGAGCTGATGGGGCTTGAGACAGGAATAACAGAGGGGTAGAGAGACAGACAGTGGATTCCAGGAATATTAGGGGACGAGACCAGGAGCTGTGGATGGTCTGGAGGGGCAGTCTTGTTGACTCCTGGTGCCTGGCTTGTGCACCTGCATGGAATGTGGGCCTGAGCATGGCGCAGGAAGCCAACCCAATTTAGAGGGAAAGATGGAGGGAAAGGGAGGAATGTTGAGTGTGAAATGTCTGTGAAACATGCAGAAACAAGGAAAGGGGGGATAATCCAAGGACCTGTCAACAGAGGAATGGTTTGAGACGGAGGGAGGGGATAATCATTCTCTCTGTGAATTGGCCTGACCATAGTCAACCAGGGGAGTGGAGTGAAGGACTTGCTGTCATGTCCCATGAGGAATGATTAGAAAATCCTGAATTGTCCAGGATTGACAAGAAGACAGGCAAAGGGACAGGTGATGTGTCTGTGCATTTCTGAGGACAAAGGGAGTGGGGTATTCTCCGGGGCTCTGAGAGACTGAAGTGGGACCCAGAGGTACCGCTTTAGGGAGATGGGTTGCAGCTTCTGAATAGAAGGTATCCAAGAAGGAGGTAGGCTACGGTTCTCTGTCCTCAGAGTTGTGTAAGTAAAGGCAAGAATGGTGTGCAAGAGATCCCAGCTTCCGGTGGGAGCTAAGGTCTGTGAGGGCCCTGTCAGCAATCAGTTCTTGCTGTCCTCTGCGGCTAAGAGCACAGTACATGCCCGCACTCCCTCTCCCTCACCCTCTTCAGCATGCCCAGGTGTCTGGATATTACAGTACTTCCTTCCCTAGAGAACCACTCCAGTGAGTCCTTCCTTGTCACTGGTCCCTTCTGTGGATGAGGGGGACTGAATGGAAGAGGACCTCACACACCCACTAGAGGCAGCCTAGCCTAATGGTTCCCAGCAAAGTTCAAACCCAGGGGCTAGCTGTATGACTTTGGGCAAACTTGGCTTCCTTGAATCTATGTCTTCATCTGTAAGACAAAGATAGGAATAGTAAATAAGGTGCTAAACCTGACCATTGGAGGCATCCTCCCTACCGCCGTGCCGCCCCCCAAAATTTATTGAGCAGCAGCTACTGTGAGCCAGAATTGTTCTTGATATACCTGGAACTAACCAGAGAAAAATCCCTGCCCTTGTGAAACTTACATTCTGTTGGGAGGAGAGGGGCAGGATGAATTGATGTGTAATAAGTGAAACTTCGTTTTCAGAGGAGTCTCAACAAAGTAGCCTTCCTGGGAATGAGGGATCCACATCCCAAACTATAGCAGAGTGTATCTATCCCAGCTGGGGAACATGGGGCAGAGACCGTGACACCACCTCAGGGTGGGAGGGTGAGGTCAAAGGGATGGTACTTGCTCAACCAGCTGAGTGCTTCTCCTGCCCATGCCCCAAACTTACTCTGACCCTGAGCACAAGTCACTTAGTTGATAGTTTCTTGAGATGTCTGCTACAGGCTGAAGATACATAGTAAGCCAGCAGAGGTTCCTGCCAGCACCGCTCCCCTCCTCTGCTAGGTTTGACCACGTGGTGGGGGAGTCAGGCAGGAAGTAAGTAGAATAACAAGAGAGAGAAAAGTGCTCTGCAGAAAATGAAACAGGATGGCAGGGCAGAGAATGTTGGGGGGCAGGGGAAGGGCCTTTGAGGAGGCTGTATTGGTGCTGAGGCCTGAAGCACCAAAGGACCTAAGGAGAGTCTTCCAGAAAGAGGGCACTGCAGGTGCTGCAAGTTCTGGAGAAGGGGGAGCCTGGGTGGCTCTTATGAGCAGCCTACAGGTGCTGGCACATTCCCACTCAGTGATTGTTAGCCACTGTCATTATATAATATTATCAACCCTTTTTGATTATTTTGAAGACTAATAGTTATAAAAATAGTTTATGAAATGGGTGAAGATGCAGAATACAAATATATTACACCGTGTTTTCGAATTCTGTATGCATACTTCCTTTGAGGGAGGAGGTGGGTGTCTTTCTTTTTAAATCTCCTGGAGGTGCCCTTGCCACCTGGTTGGTATAGCCAGTCACCCTCGTCCTGCAGAACCTCAGAGGTTGGCCAGAAGCGGAAGGCAGAGGAGGATGCAGCACTGCTGGCTAAGAAGACCCGAGTGTCAGACCCCATTAGCAGCTCAGAGAGCTCAGAAGAGGAGGAGGAGGAAGAGGAGACAGAAGCTGAAGCCACCAAAACCAGTAAGAGTCCTGCATGCTGGGGGAGGCTTTGTTGGTGTGGGGGGCAGTGCTCAGCCTAGGGCCCTGCAGCTCTGGGGAGCAGGCTTTCAGATATTGGATCTTTCCAGGGGGAGAGTCCACCTCCAGCTTCTCCTCCAGTGAGCCCTGGGAGGACCAGGAGCTTTCAGAGAGGAGATTGGAAGCGTCTCACATACCTTTTGCAGTATTTAGTTGAGCCCTTTCTTGTGCCAAACATTGTGTCCCAGGTACTGGAATTCTGGTGGCGAACAAGAACAGAGCTGGGCCCTTACAGTCTGATTTGGGGTACAATAGCTATGTTGTTATAAGCCCCTGGATGCTTCTGATAAAGATGGAAAGAGGCCCACATTTGTAGAAGATCTGCTGGAAGGATCTCAGAGGACAGCTAGCAGGCACCTCTTCTGTTTGGCCTCTGGGCTGCTGGAAGAGGGGCTGCTCTTCCTGTTGTTTTGGAGTTAGCACAGGCAAGGTGTCCCCAGGGGCTCTGGTTTCAGAGCTTTGGCAGGGGTGACCCCGTGAGGCCTCTGCAGCCCCTTCTCCCCAATTCCTCAAGACAGTTTGTGCTTCAACCAACATAGTTGTAACTCCACAGTGGAATCGTCCTTTTTCTCTGCAAGGTTACTGGGCTTTACTTACATAGAAGGTAATTTCTTGGTTTTTTTTTTTTTTTTTTTAATTTTTATTTATTTATGATAGTCACACAGGGAGAGAGAGAGAGGCAGAGAGAGAAGCAGGCTCCATGCACCGGGAGCCCGACGTGGGACTCGATCCCCGGTCTCCAGGATCGCGCCCTGGGCCAAAGGCAGGCGCTAAACCGCTGCGCCACCCAGGGATCCCAATTTCTTGGTTTTTAAACCTATTTTCTGATTGTGAAAGAAATACAGGATTCATCATAGGCTATTCATTAGAGGGTATATGAAAATTACTGGTTAAAAAGGCAGGAAAAAATTACCCATATTCTTGCCACCTACGATTTGGCAAATTATTCTTCCATTTATTTTTCCTGGGCATTTTTTTTTTCTGGACACGTTTTTTAAAAAATTCAAAATCATATTGAACGTATATCTTCTATCTTAATCTTTATTTATTTTTTAATTTTTTTAATTTTATTTTTTTATTGGAGTTGAATTTGCCAACATATATAACACCCAGTGCTCATCCCGCCAAGTGCCCCCCTCAGTGCCCATCACCCAGTCACCCCAATCCCCCGCCCACCTTCCTTTCCACTACCCCTTGTTTGTTTCCCAGAGTTAGGTGTCTCTCATGTTTTTGTCACCCTCACTGATATTTTCACTCATTTTCTCTCCTTTCCCCTTTATTCCCTTTTACTAATTTTTATATTCCCCAAATGAATGAGACCATATAATGTTTGTCCTTCTCCGACTGACTTATTCACTCAGCATAATACCCTCCAGTTCCATCCACGTCAAAGCAAATGGTGGGTGTTCGTCGTTTCTAATGGCTGAGGAATATTCTATTGTATACATAGACCACATCTTCTTTATCCATTCATCTTTCAAGGACACTGAGGCTCCTTCCACAGTTTGGCTATTGTGGACATGGCTGCTAGAAACATCGGGGTGCAGGTGTCCCCGCGTTTCATTGCATCTGTATCTTTGGGGTAAATCCCTAACAGTGCAATTGCTGGGTCGTAGGGCAGGTCTATTTTTAACTCTTTGAGGAACCTCCACACAGTTTTCCAGAGTGGCTGCACCAGTTCACATTCCCACCAACAGTGCAGGAGGGTTCCCTTTTCTCCGCATCTTCTCCAACATTTGTTGTTTCCTGCCTTGTTAATTTTCCCCATTCTCACTGGTGCGAGGTGGTATCTCATTGTGGTTTTGATTTGTATTTCCCTGATAGCAAGGGATGTGGAGCATTTTCTCATGTGCTTGTTGGCTGTGTCTGTATCTTCCTTTGTGAAATTTCTGTTCATGTCTTTTGCCCATTTCAGGATTGGATCGTTTGTTTCTTTGCTGTTGAGTTTAATAAGGTCTTTATAGATCTTAGATATTAGCTCTTTATCTGATAGGTCATTTGCAAATATCTTCTCCCATTCTGTAGGTTGTCTTTGAGTTTTGTTGACTGTTTCTTTTGCTGTGCAGAAGCTTTTTATCCTGATTAAGTCCCAATAATTTATTTTTGCTTTTGTTTCTCTTGCCTTTATGGATGCATCTTGCAAGAAGTTGCTGTGGCCTAGTTCTAAAAGGGTGTTGCCTGTGTTCTTCTCTAGGATTCTGATGGATTCTTGTCTAACAGATCTTTCATCTATTTTGAGTTTATCTTTGTGTATGGTGCAAGAGAGTGGTCCAGTTTCATTCTTCTGCATGTGGATGTCCAATTTTCCCAGCACCATTTATTGAAGAGACTGTCTTCCAGTGGATCGTCTTTCCTCCTTTATCGTATATTAGTTGACCATAAAGTTCAGGGTCCACTTCTGGGTTCTCTATTCTGTTCCATTGATCTATATGTGTTTTTGTGCCAGTACCACACTGTCTTGATGACCACAGCTTTGTAGAACAACCTGAAATCTGGCATTGTGATGCCCCCAGCTCTGGTTTTCTTTTTTAATATTCCCCTTGCTATTCAGGGTCTTTTCTGATGCTTTCTTTATCTTTTAAAATTATAAATGCAAAACAAGTTCACTTTGAACCAATACGAAAGCATGTGGGAAAAAAATGAGAGGTTTTCTATCCTACTATCCTGGTTCCCTTTCCCCCGCCCCTTTAATATATCCTGGCAGGTAGCTTTGAAACCTCCCTTTGCATCTCTGCTTACAGCCATGCATATGTGCACAAGCCCCTATCTAGGCACTATGTAACATAAAGCTTGGCCAATTTTATACTGACCGACGTTTGATGCTAATGAATTTGTATTTAATGAATTTTCCCTGTGCTAATGGGATCAGAATTATCCTTTTTAAAAGAGTCCCTGTCAAGAGAAGCATGGGGAAATATTTGTGGGCAGCGTGGTACAATGGCTGGCGTTTTCTTCAGAGTCCTCCTTGATGAGGAAGGGTGCCAGAGAGGCTGCTCGACATCACATTGGCCACAAGTTGGTAATGGCTGGGGCTGTATGGTTCACTGTACTTCTACTTACAAATGTGTCTAAAATTAAAGAGAGAAGGAGATGGAATTAAATGCCAGGAAGAGAGTTAGACCATGCAGTTCATCTCCTCAGTGTCCTCTCTGGTTCACAGCATACCCTAGAAATATTGCCTGGTCTGAGGTCTGGGGGGACAGTACCTCCTGATGTAAGAGCACCAGGAATCTAGGTCTCAACATCTAACTAGTTCCCAGTTCCATGGTTCAGCTGCCTTTCCACTAGAAACTGTTGACATCCTGAGCAGCTTTCTCTGTGGTCTCGGGGCTGGCTGGCCTGCCACTGTCCCTGTCCTGCTAGGTGGCCCTTGGGCTGTGGTGTGGTGGCCCGCCCTGAAGTCGTGCCATGCCATCGAGTGGTATGCAGCCCAACTGTGAGCCAGCCCTTTTTTCTCGTGGGGCTTCCGCGTCTCAGGACTCCATGGGGGATATGGACCCATGGCTGTTGTGTTGCCCAGCTCTCTCGCTCCTTCTGGATGTGGCTCCTGCCTCCATCACTCCCACTCCCACCTCCAACCTCCCCAGCTCTTTTCCGTGAGTCTGGGCTCAGCCTCACGTCCTCATGCCAGGACCAGGCAGCCATTCCAATTGCACTGTTAGGTGAGCTGAGACCTGTTGGCTGTTCTTAAATGAGAAAAAGCTCATCTGCCTCATCCCATGGATGTTCCTATCTTGCAGCCCCAAGACTAGCATCTACCAACTCCTCAGTTCCAGGACCGGTTTTGCCATCAAGCACAAAAGAAAAGGGCATGGTGAGTAGGACCAGCTCTGGCCTATGGGAGTGAATTGCCCCATAGGGGGACAGTCCCCTGTGTCAGAGAAGGATAGGGTTGTGGGTAATTGCCCAACATGGATTCAGATGTTAGCCTTTATCACCAGTTGTGTGATCCTAGAGTGTCTCTTTACCTCTCTGGGCCTCAGTTTCCTTTTCCATAAGATGGGGACACTGCCCACTGCTCTGGACCCCTGGACACAATATGCATCTGTAATAGCTCCCTCCCATCCCCCCACTCCCATCATCCCTGCATTGGCCTGTTCAGCCAACTTTTTACTGATCCAGTTATTTTCCAAGCACTGTGGGAGGCAGTGGGGGCACCACAGCACTAAGACACCTGTGGTTCTGAAAGCTCAAAGATCATTTTCTAGACTGAAACCACTTAGAGAGTGGAATACCATTTGCTGGTAGTCCATAAAGCACTGTTACAGACACAAAAAGGACGCGTCCCTGAGCCGTCTGGCACGCTAGCAGCCATGAGAAGTAGTGATAGGAACCACAGCAGACTGCTGGTTACCGCTTAACAAGTGACTGCTGTATCCCAGGAACTGTAATTAGGCTTTCTCCCTGCCTCTGTGAGGGCAGGTACCACTGTCAGTCCCATCTTAAAGATGAAGAAGCAGACCGAGGGAGGTAATTTGCCCCAACTCTGCACGGCTGGGAAGAGGTGTATGCTCATTGCTAAGCCAGCCGTACCCAGTGTGTCTGTCACTCTTCTTTGTAGGCAAAGACCAACAAAGCCAGCAAGATGGTCAACTCCACACCACATCCGGCCTCTGGCAAGGCAGTAGCCCACATTCTGTCTGGGAGATCACCCAGCAAGTCTGCAGGGCCCTCGGCAAATACCATCCTGGTCTCGGAAACTGAGGAAGAGGGCAGTGTCCCGGCACTCGGAACCACAGCCAAGCCTGGTGAGCAGCCCTGACCTCTAGACGCCCAGCCCCCTGAGTTTGGGCTGGGGAGGCAAGCTTCGGGCACTGCTTTATCCAGCTCTGGGACATTCTGGAATTTAGAAGTTTGTCTCCATGGCAGTAAGAGCCCCGTGCCTTATTGAGGGAGGGTCTGCTGCAGGGACATGTCAGGCTTTGCCAGGGAAATTGGAGCAACCTGGATGATGATGGATCATTTTCTAGTTTATTGTGCGCAGGTGGGTACAGGCCCACTGTGGCGGCTAAGATGAAACTGAGAGGCCTGGGTTTGCCTCAGTTTCTCATGTCAAACAGGCGTTTGCCCTGCCTGCCTCAGTGTGATGATGGAGGAAGATCTCTGAGCCATCAGATGCTGGCTTGTGTGTGCTAACACCTATTATAACCCTTCCCAGGGCCACAGAGACTTGTGTGGGAACACAGGGATACGAGTGGCATGCGCCTCAGCTGTGGGGCTTCAGGAAAGGTGGAACTGAAACGCTGCATGGGAGAGGCGAGAACACAACACCTGCCTCTCATTTGCTGGCGTGGCGGAGTGCTGGCGAGGGGAGTCTGAAGGATAGGCGCTCAGTCCTCTCCCTCTTCCTCCCTTAGGAATGGCATCAGCCAACCAGGCCGATAGCTCCAGCGAGACCTCCAGCTCCAGTGATGAGACCGATGTGGAGGTAATTGCCACCATCCTCAGGAGCTGCCCTCTGCAAACCTTTAACCCTCCCAGACGCCTGGCCAGGGCTTTGCACGCCAGCGTGGCCAAATCAATTCAGCAAGTGTTTCAGGGGCACTGGGAGCTGGAAAGGCTGAGGCCTGCAGAGCAGAGCCAGATGCTGCTCGTGGCACCTCGGGCATGAAAAAGGTCTAAGGTTGGCAGAGAGAGACACCATTGTGTCTGTGAGACAAGGGAAGGCTTTTTGGGAGAGGCAGCACTGGGAGGCCTTGGTGCACAGAGGACTCACCAGGAAGGGGTCTGAGGGAAGAGTGTTTAAGTGGGAGGAGCTACACAAGCCAAGGCCCAGATGCAGGAGGGTCGCCATCCTGCCGTGTGGTCAGGGTAAGTTGGGTGAGGGGTTCTGGGCCTGTTGGTCAATGCCAGGCCTAGGCATATGGTCAGAGATGGTCAGGTGTTGGGCTGGGGCCTCCTCTCTTCCCTGAACTGTGGCCAGGGAGTCCTCCCTTAATGTGTGCCCAGGCCTTGGGAGTGTAGTGGCAGGTGGGAGTGCGTGTTTCCCGTGGCCGTGGGGACGTGGAGGGGTCCCACAGGAGTTTGTCTGCAGTGCAGAGGAGATCACAGGCAGGGGCCATGTTCTGCTGTTGGGACCGTAAGGACCACCAGGAGGCACTGGGTTTTATTCTAGCGTCTGCGAGAAGCCATTTCAAGGTTTTAGGGAGGCAAGAGGGCCTGATCTGTGTTTGAGAAAGATGGCTGATCGTGGCCGAGGTTGGACAACAGGGCAGAAAGAAGGTATAGTAAGACTATTGATGCAGCTGGTGGCGGGTGCCAGGCCTCCTAGAAATAGAAAGGTGTGTGGAGGGAGGGCCAGGAGGATTCAGGGGTGGCTTTATATGGTGCCCAGAGTACTTCTCCCTTGCCTCCTGTCTCACCCAGTAACTGTGAAGATGGAGACCTTACTCCTGTCTACCCCAGGCCATTCCCCACGTTTCACCCCACCAGGATATAGCCATGAGGGTGCCCCGGGCGCCCATCCCTCCTAGCCCTGCCGAGGGAAAGGGGGCCACTCCAGAAAGCCAGCAGTCAAACACACAGCCGTGGTGGGTCAGGGGCCAGCACAGAGCCCTAACAGCAGTGAGGAGTTTGTGATTGGGGAGATGGCTGCCCCAGGAACGCAGGGTCAGGTGAAATCTGATGAAGGTAAGGGTAGGGCACTGCCTGTCCTGGAAATGTCAGAATTTTAGAAGTCTAAGAAAGAGCCCATAAAGGAAAGGAATGTGCCAAGAAGGCTCTTGGTTAAGACTGGAATTCAAATCCTGGCCTCTCGGTCCTTGGGATGACCGTCCTAATCAGATACTGTTGTTGAAGGGGCGGAGGGGGTGAGGCTCCCAGTTGAGAAAGACTGGACTCTGTGTACTAGGTGGCTGAGGAGCATAGTTTTTGAGGGTTGTGTCCCCAAGGCTACACAGATGTGGGTTCTAGTCATGACTTTTCCCTTAATGCTGGTCTTGAGTGGCTTAACCTCCCTGAGCCTCTTGTCCTTTTCTAGAAAAGTATAAAGACAGCATCTGCCTCAGGGAGTTGAGAATCTGGATGACACTAGGAAAGGACTTTGTAAACCATGAAGCCTCTCCTGCCCTCATCAAAGATCATTCATTTTTCCCTAATTGCATTTTCTGGTTCCAGGTGAAACCTTCAGTAAAACCACCCCAGGTCAAAGCCTCACCAGCCCCTGCCAAGGACTCTGTAGGGAGAGGGGCAGTCCCAACCCCTGGGAAGGCAGGGGATGCGACACCCCAAGGCAGAGGGGGTGCTCTGACCCCAGCCAGCAAGGCCAAGAAGCCAGAAGAAGACTCAGAGAGCAGTGAGGAGGAGTCTGAGAGTGAGGATGGGGCCCCCGCGGAACCACCCCACCAGGTGAGGCCTGGGGCCGGGCTACCCCTTGGTGTCCCCGGGACTCCCCTGGCCCCTGGGGGCCAGCCAAATGGCTACGTGATGAGCATCTCTTCTGCCAGATACAGACTCACCTTGGGGTTTGGGAAGTGGGAGCTGGGGGCGTGAGTTAAACAGCACTGGCAGCTGGGTTTGCCTCAGCCAGCCGTGGAAATTCTCCTAGACGGGCTGCTTCTCACAGGGTGATCCTGCACCCTACTCTGTCAGTAACTCCCATGGACCTCAGTTTCCCTGTCTTATGAATAGGATGTGACCAGCTGATCTTATAGTGAAGGGACTTCAGTTTTAATTGCCTGGTCCTCTGGCTTCTCAGGCCAACTCATGCCTTGTTAGCTAACAGGAATCCTGTTCATTTCCATCTGCTGGGATGCCCTCCCCTGGGCAGGTGGCCAGGGCTCTAGGCACATGTGAAGGGAAAGCAGGGGGTTAGGAGGCTGTTGGGGTGGGAGAGCCAGGAGGAGGAAGCATCAGACCTCGGTGGGGAAAGGCCCCACAATCCTGAGCTGGCCAGGGGAGACTGCGGGGGGTCAGGGGGGGAGGTACAATAAATATGGTTTGTTTTGCTGGGTGTTAAAGAGGAAGGTTAAGTGGCGTGGGCTCTAGAAATGGCAATTAAAATTAAGTGCTCAGGGAAGGCCTTACAGAGACATCAAGCACCTGAAAGGGGGTGGGGGGGGCATGTGCTACATGGACATTTGGATGAAAGTCATTCCGGTAGGGAGCACAGCAAGTGCCAAAGCCCTGATGTGGCAGGGGGTGGGGTGGGGGGGTTGTCACACAGGATACAGCAGTGGGCCAAGCTGGACCGGGTGCCTGTGCTCACAGAGCTATCCTGCTGACGAGGAAGGCCAGCCCGGGGAGGTTTTGACCCCTGCCTATGGGTGACTTGGGGAGGAGCGCAGGGGCATCAGGGAGCACTGCCAAATGAACTGGTGTCTGTCTCAGACCCAGAGGAGGAGGCAGTGGTAGCCAAGTGAGATGGGCAGGGCTGCAAAGGCCCCTGGAGTGAGAGGGTGAAGCTGATAGGCCAGGCCTGAGCACCAGTCAAGTCAGAGAGTGAGGGGAGAACCAGGGACATCTTATGGGCCCCAACAAGGCCTTGGCTTTGTCCTAAAGGCACCACCAGAGGGTGAGGAGAAGAGGAACAAACCACCCTTTCTCTTTACTAGGTGAAGGCCTCAGAGAAAATTGTCCAGGCCAAAGCTGCCTCGGGTCCTGTCAAGGGGACCCCTGGGAAAGGGGCCACTCCAGCTCCCCCTGGGAAGGCAGGGCCTTCGGCTGCCCAGGCCAAGACAGGGAAGCCAAAGGAGGACTCAGATAGCAGTGAGGAGGACTCCAACAGCGAGGAGGAGCCACCAGCTGCCAAGACCCCACTTCAGGTGAGGCCCGGGGAGGGAGAGTGCATGCAGCCCGGGCCCCTCCCCAGAAGGCCTTCTGAGACCTGTTCTGCCCCCTGCACGAGCCCTGTACATGCTCAAAGCTCTGCCCCTTCTCACCCGTGGTACGTGTGGCATCCTTTGCCCTGTCTGGATTCTTGTGTCTCCTCATGTCCACCCTCTGGGCTCCCTTCCCTGATTCCATTTATCTCCTTCCAGGTGAAGCCTTCAGGGAAGACACCCCAGGTCAAAGCTGCCTCAGCTTCTGCCAAGGAGTCCCCTAGGAAAGGGGTCCCTCCAGTGCCCCCCAGCAAGGTAGGGCCTGCAGCCGGCCAGGCTAAGAAGGGGGCGGGGGAGGAAGACCCAGACAGTAGCACCGAGGAGTCTGACAGCGAGGAAGAGGCACCAACAGCTGTACCCCCAACCAGGAGCCCTGTTCAGGTGAGGCTGCAGGTGCCCCTGCTCAGAGGACCCATCTGTTGGCTTGTCCTCCCCCTCCACACCTGGGCCCCATGCCCTGCATTTGCCTCCCTCACCTCCTGTCTCCCCTCGCAAACAGTCCCCTATGGGCCCCTGCCCTGATCCTGTATTTTGTTATTCCCAGGCAAAGCCCTCAGGGCAAAACTCCCAGGTCAGAACTGCCTCGGGTCCTGTCAAGGGGCCCCCTCAGAAGGCAGGGCCTGCAGCCACCCCAGTAGGAAAACAGGAGGAGGACTCAGAGAGCAGCAGCGAGGAGGAATCAGACAGCGAGGGGGCAGCGCCAGCCCAGGTGAGGCTCCTGTCTAGAAGGCTCTTCTCCTCCTCAGTGTTGGTAGCACTCTCCCACACACGCACCTATACACACCTGCACTGATTCTGCTTGCCCTCTCGGTTTCTTGTGTCTCTGCACACAGCCATGCTCCTTCCCTGATCCCGTGTGTCTCACTGCAGGCAAAGTCTTCTGGGAAAATCCCCCAGGTCAGAGCTGCCTCGGGTCCTGCCAAGGGGCCCCCTCAGAAGGCCGGGCCTGCAGCCACCCAGACCAAGGCCGAGATGTCCAAGGATGACTCGGAGAGTAGTGAGGAGGAGTCAGAGAGTGAAGAGGAGGCGCCTGCAGCCATAGCTCCAGTCCAGGTGGGGCCCAGGAGGGGCCACTGTGCAGCTGTGCAGCCCTACCTGAACCACCCCCACCACTCAGCTCCCCAGAGAGCAAAGGGGAAGGACGGCAGCAGGGTCCCACCTGAAAACAGTTGGGGGGGGGGGTGTTCTGAATTCAGGCTCCTTCTCTAGTTTCTGACTTCTGCTTCCTCTCAGGCAAAATCAACTGTGAAAACACCCCAGACGAAGGCCTCCCCAAAGAAGGGCACCCCCATTACCCCTACACCTGCCAAAGCTCCCCCAGTGCGAGTGGGCACACCAGCCCCTTGGAAGGCGAGAGCAGAAGCTTCTCCAGCCTGTGCCTCGTCTCCAGCTATGGCGAGGGGCGCCCAGAAGCCAGAGGCCTCTTCAAGCAGCAGCGAGGAGTCTGAGAGTGAGGAGGAGACTGCTCCCGCCCCAGCAGCAGGACAGGTGAGGCCGAGTGTATTCAGCTGACTCAGGGCCAGTGCTCATGTGGCCACTTGGGTACCTGTGACACATATCTCTTCCCTGTCATTCCAGGCAAAGCCTGTGGGGAAAGGCGTCACTGTGAAGGCTGCCTCCACACCCACCAAGAGGCCCTCAGGCCAAGGGACTGCCCTAGCACCCCCTGGGAAGGCAGGGCCTGCAACAGCCCCAGTGAAAACTGAGGTGCAAGAAGACTCCTCAGAGAGCAGCGAGGAGGAATCGGGCAGTGAGGAGGCTGAGGAGGCGGCTGCGGCTCCTGCTCAGGTGAGGCTGAGGAGGAGCCAGCCCATCCCACCCACACCAGAGCCCCAGGGCAGGGTGGAGGAGAGGCTTTTGTTGGCGGCTTGCCTTGCCAACTTTTCATTCTGTTTCCTCTTCTTGTCAGAGGGCGGGGTCTCCCCCTGGCCTATTGAGCTTCCATTGAGATCCCTTATGCCTTCCACAAGCTCTGTTGGGCACCCCATCTGTTAGGTGCTGTTGAGTCTCCCTCTGGGAGCCCCAGCCTAGGTGGAGGCGTGGGCGTGTGCACAGGTTCCTCCAGCAGGGTGAGCCAAAGCTGAGAGTAGAGAGCCTGTACCTGGGCCAGCAGCATGGCAGGTGATAGCATCTAAGGATTTCCAGCGAGGAAGACCTCCTGGAGGAGGTGGCATTGGGAACTGTGGGCTGAAAGAGCTAGCCAGGTGAAATGGAGTGTTCCAGTCAAAGAAACTAGCCTATGTGAAGTCTCAGAGGGTGGGAGCATGCTTGGCCTGAGTAAACTGCCCCAAGTGGAGCATTTTGGTAGGATCACTGGGGCAGGTGGTGTGGCAGGGGCAGATAGCCAGGGGTTGGAGCCAGGATGCCTGGGTTCAAATTTCTGCTCCATCCAGTGATGAAATCCATCCAAGACCTTTGTTTACTCTTCTGTAAATTGGGAATCAGCCTTCACAGGATTGAGAATTTAACGAGATCTCACCTACCACACACAGCAAGTTCACTCATCCGCCACCGTGAGGGTGGGCCGGGCTGATAGCGAACAGAATCAGGAGTCCCCTCCCAGCCTGGAAGAGTTAAGTTGGGAAGAGTGAAGATGGCTAACACCCTGCACTCACTCACCATTTTATTATTTGTAATTGTCACACCCCCCAACCCCCGGCCATAACCACTCAAGAGATTAGTCATTTTTCCCCCTGTACCAGAGCATACATTTTCTATGGATTTTTTTTCTTGTCCTCTTCTCACTGTTGCCTTGTGGGACCCAGGTTCCTGTAATTCTTAAGTGCCTCGTGAGGTTTTGACCTGTGTGTGAGCCCTGCTGGTGTCCCAGCCCAACAGCTCCTATCACATCTGCAAGCTACAGACACATTCCAAACCAGTGCCTGAAAAGTTTAATTGTACTCATTGCTTAAGTATTTGTCTTCCCATCTGAGCCTCCCACCAGTACCATTAGAACGGGGTTTCATTTGCTTTGATTTCTGGAGGAGGAAATTAGAGTTTAGAAGAGTTGTTTGCTGACCTGCTTCAGCCCAGCCAGCCAGTGAGGGTCCAAGCTGGGCCTGGGTCCCAGTGTGCCTGCCTCAAAAGCCTTTGACTTTCACATATCCTTCTACTATATCTTGGCCCAGATTTTTCTGACCACAGACACGATTGTGCTCTGGGGCCATTCCCTCCCGCTCCCTCCCTCCTGCTCCCTCCCCCTCCCTGTCTCTCTCTCTCCCTCCCTCTCCCCCCAATAAAGCAGCTAATCCCTCTCTAGGGGCTCAGATTTATAGCCTGATGCCCTGTCAGAAGATGGTGCCTTGCCTAGCTTCAGAAAGCCTGAATTGCCTCCACTGAGCCAGGCAGGTCTGATAGGAGTCTTGTCTGGAGGATAAGAATAATTCTCTGTTGTGGACTTCCCGTGAGGATGAAATGAGAATACTTGTATGGCCTCGCTCTCGAAATGCTGTCTGTTCACACTCACTGGGTCCCACACTGTTCAGTAATGCTGGGGTCAAGTGAGTCAGATGGCCTCTGGTCTGCTCAGATCCCCCAGCCAGCTCAAAGGAAACCTTCCATGAGAGAGCTGAGGTTCAAAACAAATTAACAAAGACTGGAGTGCTTCTGGAAAACCAGATGTGCCAGAGTCTGAGGAAGGAGGTGATTCCTGATTGAAATGCCATAGGAAGAGAGCCCTGGTGTCAGAAGGGTGGGGCAGATGGTCAGTCAGCATGTGGTGAATGGCGGAATAAGTGCTAGGGCGCCTTTGGAGCCTGACCTTGTGTTCTATGTTGATCTTACAACTTGGTTACATTTGCTTATCTGTTTTCCCGACTTTTGTAGATTCCTTAGGACTTTCTATATTCAAACCATGTTTTGTATGGTTATATTTTTCCTCTTCAATCTAGATGGCATTTCTTTTTCTTGCCTTGCTGCACTGGCAATACCCTCTAGTACAATGTAGAATAGCAATGGTGAAAGTAGACACCTTTGCATTGTTTCTAATTTAGGGTATAACATTCATTCTTTCACTATTTAGTATGGTTTTAGCTCTAAGTTTTTCAAAGATGCCCTTTATCAGAATGAGGAAGTTTTTTTTGGTTTTTTTTTTTTAAGATTTTATTTTTAAGTAAGCTCTACACCCAACATGGCAGGGGGAGAGGGGGCGGCGGCGTTTGAACTCACCACCCCAAGATCAAGAGTCACATGCTCCACTGACTGAGAGGGCCAGCCAGGTGCCCCAAGGAAGTTCTTTCCTGTTCTTAGTTTGTTGAGTTTTTATTATGAATTGGAGTTGAATTTTTGTCAAATGCTTTTTTCTATTGAAGTGATCTTACTGTTTTTTTTTTCCTGTTCTACTAATGCAATATATTGCGTTTAGTTGATTTTTTTAAGGTATTAAGTCAACCTTTTGTTCTTACAGTAAATCCCAGTTGGTCATGATGTATACGCCTTTTTCTTTGCTGGATTTGGTTTGCTAATCATTTAAGGATTTTTGTGTCTATATCTCAGGAATATTAGTCTGTAGCTTTTATGTGATGCCTTGATCTGGCTTTGGTATCAGGATGATTCTGGCCTCATGAAATAGGTTGGGTAGTATTCTCTTTTGTTTTCTGAGGGTTTATGTTGGATTGGTGTTATTTCTTCCTTAATAGAATTCACCAATAAAGCCATCTGGGCCTGGAATTTTTTGAATGTGGAAGATTTTTAATGACTAAGTCAATTTTGAAAATTATTATTGGCCTAATCCAGGTTTTTTTGTTTCTTGAGTCAGTTATATGTGTTTTACCTTCTGGTAATTTTGTGCACACTTAATAATTTGTGCCTTTTGGGGTGTCTGGGTAGTGTAGTCGGTTGAGCGTCTGACTCTTGGTTTTGGCTCAGGTCATGATCTCAGGATTGTGGGATCAAGCCCCACATTGGGCTCTGCACTCTACATGGAGTCTGCTTGAGTGAGATCCTCTTTCTCCTCCCTCCTCTCCCTCTCTGCCCTTCCTGCTTGTAATGTTCTTGCTCTAAAATAAGTAAATCTTTAAAAATAATAATTTGTGCCTTTTTTAGACACTTGTGTTTTCATCTCAGTTTAATTTATTGGCATATATTCATAATATTGTAATCTTTTTTAATTTTCATAGGATCTATAGTGATGTCCTGCTTTCTTCCTAACTTTTGGTAATTTGTGTCTTCTGTTTCTTGGTCAGCCTACCTGAAGACAGCAATTCTGTTGTTCTTCTCAAAGAAATAACTTTTAGTTCCATTGATATTTCTCTGTCATTTTCTGGGTTTTATTTCATTAATTTCCACTCTGAATTTTATTATTCTTTGGGTTTGAATTGGTCTTCTCTTTCTAGCTTCTTAAGATGGAATGTTAAATTGTTTATTGTAGCTCTTTTTTTTTTTTTTTAAGAGTTGAAAGCAATGAATTTCCCTATAAGGGCTGCATTAACTTCATCTTGTGAATTTTGAAATGTTGGGGTTTTTATTCTTATTCTTTGAACATGAGTTATTGAGAAGTGGGTTAGTTTCCAAATACCTGGGACAGCAGATTTCTTTTTGTGATTGATTTTTTTTTTTCTTTAAGACTTTATTTGAGAGTGAGAACATGAGCCGGGGGCTGAGGGGGGTGTTGCAGAGGGTGAGCGAGGAGCCCAACTTGGGGCTTGATCCTAGGACCCTGGGATCATGACCTGAGCCTAAGGCAGTTGCTTAGCTAAGCCACCAAGGTGCCCCCTTGTGATTGATTTCCAGTTTAATCCCTCTGCACTAGAGAACATATTTTGTATGATTTCAGTCCTTTTAAATTTACTGAGACTTGTGAGGTCAGCTTAGTGCTGGTATCTTTTGTGTTTTCTTTTTAATCTTTTTAAGATTTTATTATTCATAAGAGAGAGAAAGAGAGAGGGGCAGAGACATAGGCAGAGAGAAGCAGGCTCCACACAGGGAGCCCAATATGGGACTTGATCCTGGGACTCTAGGACCATGCCCTGGGCCAAAGGCAGATGCTTAACTGCTGAGCCATCCAGGGATCCCTTTTGTGTTTTCTTAAGTGAATATAAAAGACATTGCTCCCCACTGGATGACTTTTCTGTGCTGAGCACATTGGCTTAGCCAGACACAGTCTATGCTTTAGAGGACTTGCTTTCTTAAAGTCCCAATTCTTAGTTTCACTTGGTCTTGTGTGGATGAGGAAAGCTGAGCTATGGGACAAATCAGTGATCAGATGACCTCTCTGAACGAGTCAGGGGCCTAGACACACCACCAGATTCCTCATTTTGCTTTTCATTAGCAGAGTTTGATTTCACACACCTGTCAGCGATCTCCCATCAAAGATTTTAATTCTTTGTTGCTCTCCTGTCTCTCGGTCTGTGTTTGCTTAGATGCCCCGAGGGTGGTTTGGGAGGATCCCTTGGCTATCAGTTAAGATTTGGTTAAACTGAAGAAAACCTCAAATAGCCATGATTTTCTCTATTCTGGCATCCTGAGTACCTGGCTCCTGCTTCATAGACTAAAATGGCTGCTAGAGCTCCAGCTGTTACCTCAGCATTTCTTCTATCTAGGAGGAAGAAGACCCATGTTTTCTATACATATAAGAAAGTCAAATGGTGGGGCACCTGGGTGGCTCAGTGGTTGAACATCTGCCTTCAGCTCAGGTTGTGATCCTGGCTCCTAGGATAGAGTCCTGCATTAAGCTCCCTGCATGGAGCCTGCTTCTCCCTCTGCCCCCACCCCCCACCCCTGTCTCTCATGAATAAATAAAATCTTAAAAAAAAAAGTCAAATTGTATACTTCGATTCTGTTAGCCAGAAGTTAAACTAGCCACCTAGCTGAAAGGGAGCCTGGAAAACACTTCTGCTCTGGGTAGACTCATGCTTAGCCAACACAAGAAAAGTGCTCGCAGTAACAAGTTTAGGCGAGTGCTTGTTATGTGCCAGGAACTGTGTTAAACACTGTGACTCTCCCATTTAATCCTTATGATAATCCTGTGGGTGGGCCTTGTGGTTAGCCTCATTTTACAGAGGAGGAAACTGAAGCCCAAGGAGATCAGTGATTTGCCCAGATGCACACAGCTATTAAATGGAGGAGCAAGAATCCAAACTCAGGCATTTGACTCCAGAATCAGTGTCCTTGGCTAACTACTCTGCTGCATCTTATCCTCTCCCTTCTGCAATTCCTATTTCTCCTTCTAGGTGAAAACCCCTCAGAGCAAGGCCAACCAAGCTCCCACCAGAGCAACTTCAGCCAAAGGGGCAGCATCAGCTCCAGGAAAAGTTGTCAGTGCAGCTGTTCAAATCAAGCAGGAGTCCCCGGCCAAGGCAAGTGGAACCAGAAGCCCAGGAGAGGCTGGAGGTGGGGTGGAGAGGAGGACCTAGCAGTTGGCTGAGCCCAGACAGGCCCCCCGCACAGGTGGGAGGGACTTCTGCACATTCACACCATGAGAGGACTTAACCTAAATGGAGCCGTGCTACCTACTTCCTTCCCTAACGCCATTACCTCTTATTCAGGTAAAGCCACCAGCAAGAACCTCCCAGAGCAATGCTGTCTCAGTGAGGGGCCAGGGCGCTGTGCCAGCTGTGGGGAAGGCAGTGGCCACAGCAGCCCAGGCCCAGCCAGGGCCAGTCAAGAACTCAGAGGAGGACTCGGAGAGCAGTGAGGAGGACTCCGACAGTGACGGGGAGGCCCGCACTCCGGTGAGGCCCGGGAAGAGTGGAGAGCAGCTCTTGCTGTCCCTCCCTCCCCTAATTCTATTTCTCTTGCTCTAGGTGAAGCCCTCAGGAAAGACCCCCCAGGTTGGAACTGCCTCAGCCCCCAGCAAGGGGCTGTCCAGGAAAGGGGCCACAGCAGCCCCTCCCAGGAAGACAGGAGCCGTGGCCACCCAGGCTGGGAAGTCGGAGGAGGACTCTGAGAGCAGCAGTGAGGAGGAGTCTGACAGCGAGGAGGAGGCCCCGGCCCAGGTGAGGCCTGATGAGGAAGCTGCTACCATACAAGGCCTCTGAGCTGATACAACCCACTCCTTGCTCAGGACCTGGGTGCAGGGCCAGGTGAGGAAAGAAGACCAGTTTAAAGCTGTGGCTCCCAGGTCCTTAACCAGCTGCTGTCCTCCCTGTCTCCTTAGGTAAAACCTGGTATAAAGCCTCCCCAAACCAAGGCTTCCCTGCTGAAAGGTGTCTCAGGCACTCCTGCATCTGCCAAGGCCTCCACAACACGAGTGGACACCTCAGCCCCACAGAAGGCTAGACCAGCACCTCCTGCCAAGGTAAATGAGGCTAGAAATCCCGGGATGTCACCAGGAATCTCAGGTTCCAGAGGGTCCTGGGGGGCTAGAGGAAGTCCCCTCCCTCACCTGGGCCTGGGACCGCAGGTAGGCATGTGTATCTCCCCAGGTGGAGCTCCGCTGGTGTGAAGCCTCAGGAGTGAGGAGAAGGAGGGAATGAGGAACTGACTTTTATCTGGATGATTTTCCCTCTGTCCGTGTACAGAAAGCAGCAGGAGCAGCTATGTCCTGCAGGAGTTCAAGGAGACCAACTCCAGGATTCAGAGGGCTCATGCGTGTGCTGGAAGTGATTTACACAGGCCTGGTAGTCAGCATTTATTTAGCCTGGGTGTCAGAAGCTGAAGAGGGTGGTGGCTGCTAAGGCAAACTGAAGAGCTCTGGTCCCATCTAGGAAGATGGTCCCTGTCAGCTCCAGTGCCCAGATGTGCCCCCTGTGTGGCCACATCTTCCTTTCCTGTGCCAGGCTGAGCTCCATCCCCTCTTAGATTTGTTTTCTTCACGAGTAAAACAGTGGTCCTAGCTCTGACCTCTGCCTTTAGTGCATCAGACCAGACCAAGTACAAGCGCTGTGTCTCGCTGGTAGAGATAAAGGGATGAAAGATGCTGGCCCTGCCCTTGTGGGCAAGATGAAGTAGCTGGCTTATTGGAGAATATTCTGGCCGTGCTCTTTGCTGGAGCTGAGAGAACAGGTCTCTTAGAGGCCGGAAGAGGCGCTTGAGCAGAGCCTGAAGAGCAGGGGTTCACTAGACAAAAAAGTGGAGCTAGGCACTCCGGGGCAGGGGATGACCAAGGGAAGGGAACGTGAAGTCAGGTGGGTTCCACAAAGGCCAGCCATCCCTTGGGCCTCAGTTACTTCTAGTTGCTTGTTACCGGTCACATTTACAGAGGCCTACACATCAGACTAAGACACAAGGGTCCCAGCCATGTTCAGACAGTATTTTGGGGTTTCTTTTATGTCTTAAGGATGCCCTGATCCAAGAATCCACTTATCTGCAGGAGAAAACCTAATTCCCAAGGCTTAAAGGGCATTGGTTACCTCATAATGCACAAAGCTTTGGGGGTAAAGGTGGTTCCTTGGGTGTGACATCATTGGTGACCCAGATTTCTTCCATCTTTTGCTCATTGTCCTGGCAGGGCTGCAGCACCTCCACAAGAGCTAGGAAGTCCCTCAGCTGACCTCCCTTCCCCCTTCCCCTCCTCATCCAGATCTAAGGCATGTGCTTCCCCCCCCCCCCCAAAAAAAAAAAGCTGCTCACTGATAAGGGGCTTGTGGTTCTGTGATTGGCTGGGAGAAAGGGCCACCTCTCCCAGAGCCTGGTGGGGGGGTGTTGCTTATCAGAGTCAGGATTCTGTTAATGAGGAAGACATGGGGGCACGGGCACGGCTGTTGCAGTGTGCTGCGGTGTACGTTGTAGCTGACCCGTTTAAAAAGTAGGAAATGACATAAGATCTAGCAGCTCTTGAGAAATTAGACTCGGGCAGCCTGCGTGGCTCAGCCGCTGTAGTGTCTGGATTCTGCCCCCGCCCCGGGCTCCCCTGAACTGGTCCCCACCAGTGCCTATCTCTCCATACTCTCCTCTTCTGGCCCCCTCATTCACCTCTTGCCCAGCCAGCCCCCCTCATTTATTCCTGGCCTGGTAGGAGGGGTGGCAGCCTTGGGACGCTTCCAGCTGGGTCTGGCTTTTACCTGGGGGTGCCACAGCCGATGTGAGCATGCTGGCACTACTGCCTGCCCTGCCCTCTGCAACCTAGTCCCAGGCTGCTGTCTCCTCTCATTCAGAGGCCTGACCAACAGCACTCCAGCCCTCAGGTTTGAGTGGTGGCTGGTGGCTGACTCCTACGTCCCTTTCAAGTTCAGAGCCAACTCTGGAAGGAGCATTAGCAGAATGGAAGCCTGTGTTTCCAGTGGCTGTGGCACATGCCTGAGACTGTCCTCCTGTGCATGTAGTAAGGGGCTGGGCTGCTTTCCGTGGACAGCCAGTATACGTGAGGGTCCTTGCTCACTGGCCACAGTTTCTCCGCCCTGGTCCCTCAGGTGTGTTCTCCCTCAGCTGACGGCTCCTCTCCCCTACCCATGTGCTTGTCCCCTCAGAAAGAGGGGAGCTCCAAAACTGCGAAAAGCAAGACCCAGGCCCCAGCACCTCCAGAGAAGAACGCAGAGGGGTCCTCCGAGAGCAGCGACGAGGAGCTGCCGGCCACCCAGGTATGCCCTTCCTTCTCTTTGGGAAACTGCAGCTCAGAGTAGGGCAGCAGGGCCTGGGGAGGGGGCTGGGGAGGTGGAGGGTGAGGGCAGATCTTTGCCATTTAAACAGCACTTTACGGTTTCCTGGTTGGTTCATTCATCCTCGCAGTAACCCCAGGAGGTAGGCAGCAGAGCATCACTGAACATCCAGGCTTCAGAGCCAAACCATGTAGGCTCAGTGCTGGCTCTCCCAGCCACCAGTTCTGTGACCCTGGGCACACCCCAACCATTCTGAGGCCTGGATATTTGCACCGTAAGCAGGCAGGGTAACTGTCCTCCCTCCCGCATCCGGGCACAGTGTGCTGCCTGATGAGGAGCACCTGTCACTGCAAGAGGGCACGTGCTGTGGCCATTTGATGCATCAAAAATCAAAGCCCAGGGAGTTGAAGTCAATTCCCCAAATTGTCATGACTCAGAACAAGCCAGGTAGATGCTGGCCCCTGGCTCCTTGTGCCTCCCCTTCCTGTCTGGGGCTGGGAGGCTTCTTTGCGGAGCTTGGCAGAAGCCAGTGGGCACGACCGGGCCCTCACCCCAGCGCCCGTGGCGCATATTCACATGCTCTGCTGCACCCGCCGTCCTCCCCGGACTGTTCCCCCTGAGGTTGGGACCAAGGCCACCTTGTCTCCCCAGCTTGCTAAGTCAGGCCTCTGGGTGAGCCCCACCTGTCCAGCAGATGGCAGTGCCCTTTGTCCTGTAGCCCCAGGTGCCTGGACGTACTGCCAGTCCCATAAATACCACACCAGTGGGGTCTCCGTAACCATCTCCCTCAGATTCCACACCACGTGCTGACCTGCCCATCAGGGAGGTCAGGTGCTTGCCACCCTGTGACAGGCTGGGGTGCTCACGCCATCCTCCTGTTAGGAGCACAGGTTATAAAAATCCTAATGAACAGCTCCATCTAACGCTGTCAGCCACTTTGTGCCAAGCACTGTGCCAAACCCTGTACCTCCTTATTCTATTAAGTACCCACAGCATCTCTCTGAGGGTAGGTCCTTCTTTTATCCCCATCTTAAGGAGGAGGCTCGGAGAAGTTGAGTGAACTAATTGCCCAGCATCACCTGTCCAGGAGCAAGCGGGCAGATCTGACATTTGAACGCAGGCCGTCCGCGCTGGGCCCTGCCCTCTGGCTGGCCGGGCGCCCTTAGGAGGCCGCTGCCTCCTCTGAGCAGGATCGGGACAGCTGGGAGGGAGGGGGCTGCCTCGCCCTGCTTTGCGGGGGCGGACTAACACAATTAAAATGAACATCATGCTTAAGCTGAACCGTTTAATTGGTACGTTAGTCCTGAAGATTCTGGAGTCCCTATTAAAAAAGAAACAGGAGAAAAGTTGGCGTTCTGTGCCTTCCCCTAGGAGGATTCAGGGAAGACGGCACAGCCTAAGGAAACTGCAGCCCCTCCTCACTGCTGGGGGATGTTTAGCTCCTTAATCCCCAGCTCACTAATTATGATTATTATCACTATTATGCATTTGTCAAGTACTTCTCTATTGACAAGTTTCACTCTGTTACTATTAGCCTATCAGTGGAGAAAACGGATGGATGCCAGGGTGGTAGGCAGAGTCTCGGGCTGGGAGGTGGAGGCGATTGTGGCTCCATTCCCAGGCTCCCTCACTGTGCCTCAGTCTCCCCAGCTACAAAGGATGGGCCCCAGCCTCTTTCTCTGAGCTATACTTCAGGGGGTGGTGTTCTGTGGCTCAGCCCTGTTGCGCTGGCATTATGAACCCCAGAACAGGGTCTGTACCCTGTATCAATTGGTAGGTACCCTATTAGTGTGTTAAGTTGAAGCTCTAGCATGGTTGTTTCTGGTAGGAGCTCCTGTCTGGTGCCTGGAAAGCTGACTTCCAGCCCAGCTATGGCACAGTTTGCTGGTCACCCTGGGTGTGGCCACTTGCCCTCTCTTGAGCCTCAGCCTTCTCAATCCGTGGAGTGACATTCCCTGGGGGCCGGTGAACCACGAGGCTCCAGGCCCACCCCTGGGCAGTGGGGTTTCCTGGCCCCTTAGGGTGGGGCAGGCCCAGGACCAATTAAGCGGCCCTGAGGCAGTTCTGTGAGGGGCTCTTGGATTGCCTCCTTGGCTCTGTCCCTTGCCCCCAGAGTTAGCCACCTGGGCTGATCAGCTCCTCACTCCCAGCCAGCCCCAGACTAGAATGAGGGCACAGTTGGTGAGCCGAGCTGTGACAAGCTCCCCGCTCCCCCCGGGGTTGGTGGTTCAGCAGGAGGGGAGCCCCTGCACCCCCTGTGGGCCCTGGCTGCCTGGTGCCTGCCGGGAGGTCCGGCCAAGCGTTCAGGCTGCAGCAGCTCCCCGTAAGCGTTGGTCACCCCTGCATGTGCTGTGCTTTGCAGTTTTCAAAAAAGCGCAGCAGAGCCCCTCTGGTGAGCGAGCCCGGGTTGAGATTGCTAACGGCCCCTCAACAGGTGGGAAACTAGGGCCGGAAGCCCAGGGGCTGGCCCACAGAGGTGGGATCAGAGGCGGGTTTCCCCATCTCCCTGGGTCGCACGGCCCACTTTTGCACGATGCCCTGCCCCTGTACCCCTGTCGTGTCCCTGCCCCCGGACGCCAGGCCTCCTGTGCCGCCCCCAGCCCGGAGGCCGTGTGGGCAGGTGGAAACGGGGGGAGGAGGCTTTTGCTGCTGAGCTGCTTTTAACATCCCAGACGTTATTGTTTGCTGCGGTGGGTTCGGTGCCTCTCCTCGTCCCCAACAATCTGTTCTTCTGTCTTCTCACATATATATAGATCTCCCCCTCCCTCAACTGTAAGCCTTCTCCCACTTTCCATCCTTCTCTCTTTCATCATGTGGGAAGGCAGGCTCTGGAAGCGGCAGATCAGAGCAGCCGCGGGGGAGGCCGTTTGGCAAGGGTGGGAAGGGCCGCAGCCCAGCAGAGCTTCCCCCCTCAGGCGGGCGCCTCTCTGCTTTACTTTTCATGCTAGCTCTCCCACCGCCCTCTGGGCCCAGGAGGTGGGCAGGCTGGTGTGATGGGCGAGACCGGGTCCCAGACGTTGGCCTAGGGCAGCTTCCTGCCACTGCCCTGTGTATCCCTCGCCCCCCCCACCCCAGGCCGGAGAAGGGGGGATCTCCAACAAAGTCTGACCTTTGAGGACAGGAGATGCAGCCTCATCCAGCTCCCTGGCTCCGTGTGTGCGAGGCGCCCTTGCGTGCAGTAGGCATCTATCCACCTGAGCTGTGACCCCAGCCTGGTCTGCAGGATCCCAGGGAGCGGCCGCTTTCTCTCTCTTTTCGTGCCTCACTGGAAGATGTAAAGCCTGCCCAAAGATAGAACAGCATGAAGAACCCCCACGTGCTTCCCCAGCCTCAGCGGGTCTGCACTCGTGACCAGGCTTACTTTGTGCAAGCCCTCCCCTCCTTCCCCAGCAACCCTGGGGTACTTTTCTTTTAAAGGACAGCCACCGCACAGCATCACCCCCTAAGAAACTGGCCTGCACAGTCAGTGTCCCCATTTCCCAGATTGTCTCGTGAATGATGGTCTTCTGGTGTGTTTAGATAAGAGTTCACACGGGGCCGCACTCTCATTGGGTTCCTTAAGTCTTCACCTTGGTTTTTCTCCTTTGCACTTTGTTTTGCTGAAGACACTGGGTCAGTATAGGTGAGTGGTTGCACCTTAGGCCACAGCTCAGGAGGCCACATCAGCATCTCTTGGACAGGAGCAGCTCAGTTACACACAGTCCCCAGCTGAATCGTGTGTAATGGTTGGGCAGCTGAGGGCTGTGCTGCTTAGAGCACCCTGCTCAGCCAGCGCCTGTCCCTGAAGTCAGCCAGAGGCAAGAAGGCTGCACTGGTTCTTCTGGCCCTGGCTTCACTTCAGTGAAACTGTGCTACCCTGGGCAGCTCTTCTGGATGTCTAATTTCCTCCCCCAACCCATCCAGGGGAGCTAGTACTGCTGACCTCAGGGGCCACTGTGAGCTATTGTGTGGGTCTTAGCAGGTGCCTGGACTAGGGGTGCACAGGGTGCCATGGGCAGCCCGAGTGACCTCTGCCTGCCCTGGGTCCCCTGGACCCCCTTGCCTTATAAAGCCCCTCCCCAGCTTCCCCTTTGCCTGGCCAAGCCTTTAATCACTGGGGGGGTATGTTTTGTTTTTGTTTTTCAAGGTGATTAAACCCCCTCTGATTTTTGTCGACCCTAATCGTAGTCCAGCTGGCCCAGCTGCTACCGCCACACAAGCTCCAGCTGCAGACACCCCGAGGAAGGCCCAGGCCTCGGAGAGCACAGCCAGGAGCTCCTCCTCCGAGAGTGAGGATGAGGATGTGATCCCCGCTACGCAGTGCTCTGTTCCTGGTGAGCACAGGCCCACTAGGCTGGGCTGACTCTTGTGCCGCAACTGCCAGGCTCCCCTGGGAGGGCTCGCCAGCACACACACATGTGCACACTCAAGCCCCATTGAGGCTGCTGGCTGAGTTACCCGGCACGTTGTTGGCCAGGAGGGGCTTGGGGCCAGGTCTCTGCAGCCTACATTGGTTCATGCCGATGAGGAACTACCTCTGACCTCTGTTTCCGGAGGAGTATTTGCCAGGACTTTCTCTGCCAGCTCCAAGGGGTGGGACCACACCAGTGGCTAGGAGCTGCAGATAGTAGGTTTCTACGTAATCTAAGGAAGAGCTTTGTAACAACTAACCGCCTGCCTGAACGAGGAAGGGTGCTCTGAGGTGGTGGTGAGCCTTCCAGTCCTGGTGGCATGTAAAGTGAGTCAGGGTAGTCTAACCAGACGTTGTAGGCAAGGATTCCATCTGTCAGTGGGAGACAGCTACATCTGGGATTTCTTTGACCTCTGAGCATCTGTGATACTCCTAGTGCCATCAGGAAAATGGCTAATGTTGTCCTGATGCTGTGAGGATAATAATGCCTGATTTTGGTAGGCTCATTTAATACAGAATAACACAAGAGAAAAATGTCAGTATAATCCACTGTCTGGAATAATGACTGACATTTTAGATCTGTCAACTTTACAAAAGCTGGAGCTATATCTGTGTTTTTGTCGAGGTCCTACTGGGCACATATGCCCCTGATTTTTCCTTGATGTACTGTGACGCTACATATTTACTGCGTGACTCTTGCTGGCTACAGAGCAGTCCTCAGGGTGGGCTTAGTGTGGTTTATCCCGGCAGTGCTTTGCTGGAGGGAGTTAAGGGCTTCATGGTTTGGGGGGTTATCACCAACAGCACTACATTGAACACCCATCACTGAGTCTTTGCAAATGATCGTGATATTCTTAGGAAGACTTCTGAGAGTACAGAAGGTCCCGTTTGGTAGCAGTGCTCCCCATCATTGCTCAAAGCGCTGGCCTGGCCAGCTGAGAGGCAACATTGTCTAGGCCTGAAGTGTGGGGAGGGGCCAGGAGAAATTCTGAGGTCACTGCCATAGCAGTCCTGTGATCTCCCCTGAGCTGGTGACACAGAGATAGTGACAGCTCCTGCCTGCGAGGCTCAGGGAGGTGGGGGAAGGCAGACTTTTGCTGCAAATACCGTGAGCATTGGGCCACGTCCCCATAAGGGCTGGAAAGTGGGGATTGCTACTTGGGTGCCCTGACTTGTACCCCATCCCACTCCATTTCAGCCGGTAGAACCAACGTGACCCCACTCACGGCCCACCCAAGGCCGGCTGTCAGAGCCAGCACTGTTGGGGCCAGCGGCGGTGAGGCGTCCGGTCGGGTGTCAGAAGGCAAGAAGCAGGAGGCACCCATCACTCAGGTACCTGGCAGGCAGGGGAGGGCTGTGCAGGCCACCTGGGGGCAGGGTACCTCCCTGCCCCCTCCGCGCCACCCCCCAAAAGTAGCCTCCCCTTGTGGCCAGCCCTTCCCTGGCTTGGTTGCAGGCCTGAAGCAGCTCCCGGGTACCTCTGAGGTGTGAGGAAGAGCAGTCTGGGAGCATGGCCCCCAGGCAGAACCAGGGCAGCTCCGTGTGTCCCTTGGCAGCCATTCCAGTGTGGTTGTGCTTTTGGTCTTTTTCTCTCCTGGTTCGGAAATGCCGCAAACAAACCTTGCCCTTTCTCAGTGTGGATAACATGACTCCCTGGCTTTCACTGTTTTCAATGCTTTTCTGCTAGGCCTTTGCCTAAGTCTGCAGCCTGAGCAGGATAGGGTTAGAGGCTCACCGTGTGAATGGCGGAGCTGAGTGCTGCTCCTCAACAAGACTGTTGAGGCCCGTCTAGGGTCAAGCAGGGCCAGAACCCAGGTCTCCTCACTCCTGGTACACAGCTCCTGGGCCACGTGGGTTAGTTTTCCTGTCCCATCGTGTCCCGTTCCCCACCACCACCAAAAAGGGCAGGATGGAATGGGGCACCTCTGTCCCAGAGGGGCTCATCATGAGGTGCAGCCCAGGAGAAGCTGCCTGGGAGCATGGGTAGCTGTGCTGTGGTCACTGCACCCAGCAGCCTACATCCATTCGGCCATTCAGCCAGCAGATGGTGCTGAGCATCTGCCCGCGCCAGGCACTGGCAATGCAGAAAGAAGACAGGGAGTCCCTTCCCTTGTGGGCCATGAAACAAGGAAGCCAAAAAATACCTGAGTATTTTGGGTGGGTGCTTTGAAGGAAACTGAGTATAAACTAGAGAATGATGGGGTGAGCTGTTTTAGGAAGGATGGGCAGGAATGGCCTCCCCAAGGAGGTGACATCAAGGCTAGAGAAGTCCTCCAAGCCAGGGAGTCTTCCAGGCAGGAGAGCACAGGTGTTGGGACCCTCTGGGGAAGTGCTGGGAGGGCCTGGGGGGTTTGCAGGGAGCCCCGCCCCGCTCTTCCCATTCTCGCTCCCTGACTGGTGGCAGATGTGGGAAGCCAGGTGGCATCAGGGGGACCTTTGAGGAAGTTGCAGCCACCAGGCCAGAGACTTTTCCCCAGGGCAAGCTCAGATTGAGTTGAGGGGCCTCGGGTGGGATCCGAGCTGCTTCCCACCGCTAGGCTAGAAGCTGTCTTTGGATCCTCTGAGAACATCATTATCACTTAGAACCTGAAGCCTGGCCCCATTTTCTGCCCACATGTGGCAGTATCCCTGTGACTGTCCCTCCGTCCCCCACTCTCAGCCCCGTGGCTCCTCGTGCAGATGCATACAGGCCCCTCCTACCCCAGCCAGGATCTGACCAGGGCATGGCACAGATGGCATCCTGAGAACCTGAGAGTCTCAGGGCTGCCTGTGGCTGTCCACAGGTGACAAAGAGGAACCCTGCTCACCTCCCGCTGACCCAGGCTGCCCTGAAGGTCCTTGCTCAGAAAGCCAGTGAGGCCCAGCCTCCTGCTGCCAGGACCCCGTCTTCAAGTGGGGTGAGCTGGGGAGCTGGGTGGTGGTGAGGCCAGGCCCCACCCTGGAGGGGGACAGCGATCAAAGATGACAGAACATAGAAGGGAGGGCCCAGGCAGGGCTCAAGTCCCAGCACCAGCACTGACCTGCCCTGTGAGTGTAGCATGCACACGTGTCTCTTCCCCATCCCCACCCCTGCTGCCCATCTGAGCATTTGTGGGAAGGCTACGAAGTGAGGCCTGGGTGTGAAGCAGCTAAGCGGCATTTGGTCCTGAGGTGACTGGGGTGCTCAGCTGCACCAAGTCTTAGTTCCCTTCATTTATTTTTCTACCCTTTTTTTTTTTTTTAAACCAAACTAGGTTGACCGTGCTCTGGGCACACTCCCCATAATGAGTCCTCAGATCACCCCTGTGCAGGCCAAGGTGACCAACAAGCTCAAAAAGGCTGAGGTCCCTGCAGTCGAGCAAGCCACAGCCACTCCTGCGGGACACCCCAAAGCCAAGGCCTCTGAGACCTCCAACGACAGCGAGGACAGCAGCAGCAGCTCTTCAGGGAGTGAGGAGGATGGTGACGGGCCCCAGAAGGCCCACAGGCGGGGTGAGGGTCCCAGCAGGAGAAGGCTGGGTGGGCCCGGAGCAGGGGAGTGGCGGCCGGGCGGAGCTCTAAGCTTGGGCCTCCACTGTGTATCTCCTTGTTCTGCAGCGTCTGCCTCATCATCCCGTGCTGGGCCTCAGTTTCCCTCTCCCTCCATGAGGAGGTTGGTCTACATGATACCAAATACCTTCCAGCTCTGCAGTGTGGCCACTGCTGACTTTTTGGTATCAGGCTCCCATTCCCAGGGTCATCCCCCCACCCCACAGAAAAGCAGGGCCACCTAAGTAGGGCCTCAGGAATTAGGAGGAAAGGTTTTAGCATTCAGGTGTCTTGCTTAGAGGGCTGCGAACAGCCATTGACCTTGGAGGGAGTCATGAGAGCCGGTATAGCCTTGGGCAGGAGGGTGAGGGATAAGCAGAAGGCTCAGGCCATCGTCCCAGGGCCTCCCAACAGCTGACCTGTGCTCCCCCAGTAGGTCCGGCCCCCTCTGCGACGGAGACCTTGGTAGAGGAGACCACAGCAGAGTCTAGCGAGGACGAGGTTGTGGCACCCTCTCAGGTAACTGCGAGGGAGGGGACTGGCACCTACCTCGGGGCCTTGGGGTGGGGGTTCAAGGCCACCCCCAGGGCCGCGTGTCAGCATAAAGCCACTCCTGGAGTCTGTAGCAAAGACTTGCCTTGACTTCAGAGGAGTCCCAGAAAAAAGGATATTTTGTAACAGATGGGATTTCTTTAAGGTTATCCTCTGTACAAGGCAAGCGCTGGTGATTTTCCGTTCGTGTTAGTAGTGAGAAGCTGTCTTCTTAACTGTGCCCAACGAAAACTGTATTAATTAAAATGGGGCAGGAGGTACCTACAGAGGGCTCAAGTGCTCACCGCCTGGCCCGATCTCTGGGGCTCTGGGATGGTTTCCTCACGGCAGGCCCTGCACTGGAGGGGAAGGGGGGCTGGGCAGGATTCCAACCTCGTTCACACTGGGTTTCTTCAGTCTCTCCTCTCAGGTTATGTGACCCCTGGGCCAACTCTGGCCAACTCCCAGGCTTCAAAGGCCACTCCTAGGCCAGACCTCAACCCGTCGGCTTCCTCTACTTCCACTAGCAAAGATGCCCCAGATGGCAAGCAGGAAGTGGAGCCCCAACACGTAGCAGGTACTGTATCCCCTAAAACAAGTGAGTCAAGGGCCATAGGAAAGACACAGTGGGACACGAAGGACAAGGCACTGGGCCCCTTCTTTCCCTCCCACCAGTATGGTCCTGTCTGTTGCAAGGGCCTTTCCAAGCATGGCCCGGGGCCCCTTGCCCAGGTATCTGGCTCTTACAACCTCGGATGGCCTGGAGGTCGGGTTATCCAGCTCTGTGGGACACTGGTGCACCTGATAGGCTGATCCCTGCCTTAAAGCGGCCTTAGCTCTCTCTAGATGACTTTCCTTCCTAACAGACAGACTGCTGGTATGGGCTGTAGGAACTCGGACAAAAGGCAGGAGCCATTTGTGGAGAAGTCTCTAGCACATGGCAAAGACCCCAGGTGATGGCCTGGCTTGTCATAAAACCTTAGGACCCTGGCCACTCTGGGCCTCTGTGCCCTAACCACACAGTTCAGGGGAGATCCATCCAGTCTGTGTCCAGGCGTGGCACACACAGAAAGCAGTCACCTGGTGTCTGGGGAGCAGACCAGAGTACTGAGGTCACCCAGCCTAGGGCATCTGCTGGCCCTGACTTTGCCAGTGCTGAGGGGCAGAAATCTCCGACCAGCATGCCTGGGACAGCTCTGGACAGTCCCCAGCTTTGGTGTTCTAGGGTGTTTGTCGACAGGAAACAGAGAAGTGGGCTGCAGGGAAGGAGGTTGTAGCACACAGGCTGTGCCCTCCTCAGCTTCCCTCTCCAATCAACACCCCCAGCCCTTGGCCAAGAAGCACCAAAGGACTGAACTGGGCCTCTGTCTGTCCTGGGACCCTCCTCTACTCAACCTGCCATGTGTGCCTCCCCGAGCTCCCCACAGTCCTGGAGCCAGAGCTGCTGGAGGTCCCACCTGGGCCCCACCCTCTGCAGGCACAGTCCCCGACCCCGGGACATGGAGCAGGGCAGCAGCTGGGCGTCCTTCAGAGCCCAGCATGGAGGCACTCTTGTGTCTGTGGAGACCTACTGAGTCACCTGGGAAGTTAGGGGCGGCATTGGGGCACTGCCGATGTCACTCCACCACCACCGTCGTTGACTTTAGCTGCAGCTCCCGGTGCTGGGTCAGCAGAGCTCATTTTCCTCCCCAGCATTCTTTGTGAGAGGCGGGTGCGACAGGGAGACATTTTCGAGGGGGCTGTGGAAGGTTTTTTTCACACGTGTAGTCAGCACACAATTATCAAAGGAGAGCAGAGGCGTGGAAAATTCTAAACAAAGGCTGCACCAGAAGTCACTCTGGCAGGCAGCAATCCTGCTGAGTCAGCCACCACGTGTGTCTGCGCCATGCACGTCGCCCCTTGGCTGCCTTGTCCCCTGACCAGCTTCTGTCATGAGTCTCTGACTTAGAGGCCTCACCGTTCATCTAAGTCCTTATTTTACAAACAAGGAGACTGAGGCTGTGGGAGGAGCGCGATCCCACAGCAAGTGGTGGTCGGCAAACCTAGAAGTCTCTTGCTTCCCAGCTCTGGACTTCTGGCTGGACAATACCATCTCCTGTCCGACCTTTCATTTTGTTGATAGATTTTATGCCCCTTCTTTAACATTCTAGAGTCCTTTTCCTTGTCCAACCTGACTTAAATTTTTAGTGCAAGGAGACAAAAGAGCTAAGTTAAAGAAAAAAGCTCAGTTAGAAACTGCTGGAAAGGTGTGGGCCAGGAGACCCAGATAGGGCAGAGTGACCACTGGCCCACCCTTTCCCCGTCTGTACCATGGTCAGAGGAGGTTGACTGGGTCCCTAGACCCCCTTGGTTCTTAGTCAGTGAGCCTGTTTCCCGACTCCCTGGTCTGTGACCCCACGTCCTCTCTCCACAGACAGGACAGAGGCTGATGCCACGCCTCAGAAGCCCCGGAAGCCCAAAAAGGAGGCCGGGAACCCCCAAGCCTCCACGCTGGCCCTGCAGAACGACATCAGCCGACGCCTCCTGAGTGAGCCCTGGCCCCTGAATGAGGCCCAGGTCCAGGCCTCGGTGGTGAAGGTCTTGACAGAGCTGCTGGAGCAGGAAAGGAAGAAGGCCGCTGATGCCGCCAAGGAGAGCAACAGGAAGGGCCGGGTGGGCCGTAAGCGGAAGCTGTCGGGGGACCAGACAGCAGCCAGAGTCCCCAAGAGCAAGAAGAAGAAGCAGCTCGTGGCCGGGGGAGGCGGGGAGGGTGCTGCTGGCTCACCAGAAAAGGCCCTCAGGACTCCCAAGGGGAAAGCCAAGAGAGATGGAGCAAGCAGTGACATCAAGGAGAAAGAGTCTCCTGGCTCTCTAGGGGCCAAGGAGAAGCCGGAAGGGGAGCCGGGGACACTGAAGGTTGAAGGTGGAGACCAAGGCAACCCAAAGATCAAGAAGGAGAAAAAGAAATCGGATAAGAGTAAGTGGCGGGCTGCAGGCTGGAGCAGACTTCCAGGCCCTTGCTGAGGTCAGCATGTGATGGGGGGGCGGGGGGGCCGGTTCAGCAGGCACGGAAGGGACAGGCTGAGAACTGCTGGGGGTGGGATGATAGTGGCAGAGCCAGAGCTGGATCCCAGAGTCCCCAGCAGGTGGGCTGAGCTGCCAGGGAGATGCGGGCTGCCATAGGGTGCGGGGCGTGGCCTGCTCCCAGGTCCTCACTCACAGTGGGTGGCCAGTCAGCACGTGCACTTCAGCTTCCTGCTTCTGTGACCCAAACACCTAGAGGGCAGGTTCCCCTTGGGGCTCTCAGGCCAGGGCAGGTAGTCACGGAGGTCTGTGGGCTTGTATTTTGATGGGTCCCCAGAGTGTGGGGAGAGCAGGGGACCTGGCATTGGGAGGAGTGGTTTGAGGATCCCTTGAGACCAGCCTTGTGTCCCTTGACATTGACCCCACACACACACACAAGCATCTGTTTACTTAGGGGGGGTATTTTCTTTTCCTTTAGAAAAAAAAGACAAGGAAAAAAAGGAAAAGAAGAAGAAGGCAAAAAAGGCCTCAACCAAAGACCCTGACTCACTGTTCCAGAAGAAAAAGAAGAAAAAGGTAGCGTGAGTTCCTGAGGGGTCTTCAGCCAGAAGAAACACCCACACCCGGTCCCCAGGGTGGATGTGATCAGCTCCATCCTGTGCGTGTCAGGGTACCCATGGGGCGGGCCAGACCCAGTCCCTGCCCCTTTCCATTCTCAGGTGCCAGGGGTTGGGGGGCCCATGAATTGTGACACAATGGAGAAGCTGGGTGGAAGGCAGGTGCCACTCTGAGGAGGGACATGGTCTGTGTGTAGAAGCCATGCAAGTGACCCCGTCTGTCTGTGAGGTAGAAGGATGTTCTTGGGCTGGGTGAAGACAGGAGGGGCAGGGGCAGGGAGGCCAGCCGGGTCGGCAGAGGTGAGAGGAAACAGTCCTTGGGTTGTATGTATCCCAGCTGGCCAGGTATCCTCCCTGCAGAGACGTAATCCTCTGCTTTTTTTTTTTTTTTTTTTTTTTAAGATTTTATTTCTTTCCTTGAGAGGGAGAGAGAGCATGCAAGAGAGAGCACAAGCCAGGGGTAGGGCAGAGGAAGAGCTAGAAGTAGACTCCCTGCTGAGTGGGGAACCCAACGTGGGGCTCGAATCCAGGACCCCAGGATCATGACCTGAGCCCAAGGCAGAGGCTTATACCTATTGAGCCACCCAGGCACCCCCACTCCCCTCTGCTTTATGGGTTCTAAAGGCTGATCGCCAGAATAGGGGAGGCTCCACACCTTACATGGGTGCAGTTCTCACTGTGCCAGCAGGGCCTCAGCTGTGTTCAGAGCTGGGCATCTGTTGGCTTCAGAGTCCTGGGCTCCTTCCTGGGCAAGTGGGGCCCCATCCCTGCCCTTGGAGGACCCTGTGTACCCACTATCTGTTGGGGGGGGGGAGCCATACGTTCTCAGGAGAGAACCATCGCAACTGCTCCTGGGAGGAAGGGGTGGGCAGCAAGGCGGGGGAGGCGGAGATGCTTCAGGTTCAAGAGCCTCTCGTACTTCTCTCCTCACAGAAGAAGAGAGCAGAGCAAACTGTCTGAGGGGCACAAGGCGACAGGTATGCTTCCTGGCCTGGAGATCCGTAGTGAAGGTGGGAGGGTAGCTAGCATCCGGCGGGGTCCCCGGGGCCAGGCAGGGAAGGTGCAGGGGCTCAGGAAAGTAGTTCCATCCCTCAAGGTCAGTGGGGCTGGTGAGCTGATGCCAGAAATCAGAGCTGCAGAGTCCGAAGGCTCCAGAATGGCGATGGCAGTGACCTACACAGTGCTCGCTGGGTGCAGGCACTTGGCTGGTTCCTCTTTGTAGAGGAGGAGAGTCTCGAGGTCAAGTACTGCTCAGTGGCTCCCCACCATTGTCCACTTTGTCTTCCTTGTGACTCTCTAACTGGAGGGCATTCCTCATGGGGAGGAAGGTGGTTTCCTTGGGGTAAGCCATTCTGATGGAGCTGGGCTTTCTGGGTGGTGGTGAAGGGGCTGACTGGACCCCAGCAGCCTCCTGGGAATGGGGGAGACCCAGAACCCACCTGGCTGGAGCATGAAGCGCTCGGCCCGGTTCCTGGGACATGGTCCAAGCTAATGTGCCCACCGCTGTTGATGGTCCTCCCTGCACCAGAGACACCAGATTTTGATTTGATTTTCTTCTCCTGGGAGAAAAGGGTCAGGAAATCTTACATCTGGATGTGTTTCCTTCACCCAGGGATTTCTTAGCCAAGTGGTGACCAGCCCCATGCCTCTGCCCTGTGCCCACCGTGGGCTGGAACTGAATCTTTAGCTTCCCCCCTCCCCAGAAGAGGCCAGCCAGCCACAGTGTCCACGCTGGCCGAGCTAGTGAGCCCTGCAGAGGCTGGTCCGAGGAGGAAGAGAAGCTTCCAGCTCCAATGACTGGCACTCACTGACTCCGCGTCTGACTTCTGTCCTGACACAGAATGCTTCATAGAGATGTGTACAGTATATATATATTTTTTTAAGAGACCTGCCCCTCCCCCTTCAAACTGACACTCCCAGAGGCCTCAGGACCTTCCATCCTTTGACCTGCCGACCCAGCAAGGCCCAGCCTGCAGCTCCTCCCATGTCCCTGGTCTCTGGTCTCTGGCTGATGCTGAGGCTTTGTCCTCTCTGTTTTTCACGTTTTGTTTGTGGTTTTTTGTAACAACTGGGAAAATAAAAGGCTTGAAGGAAAGGTGTGAGTTCCCAGCGCATCCGGGACAAGTGTGTTACACTTATTCTTGGAAGGGAGAGTCTGGCTGGCCCTTGGAGGTGAACAAACCGTCGCTCAGGGTTTGTTCTCAACTACACATCAGGGCTCTGGGACGCTGTGGTGAGTGGAACAGACAGGTTGCCAGAGAGCGAGACTCTGCAAAGTGCTCCAGGTGCCGAATCTGTGTGGAGAAGGCTTCCTGGAGGAAATGGCATCTCAGCTCTGGAGGACCTCATGTATCGTCATGGTCGGTTTGTTAGAGAGGGCCAGGCGGAAATCCAGAGGCAAGAAATGGAAAGGGGGGTGGGTTTCTTTTTTCTTTTTTCCTTTTTTTTTAAGATTTTATTTATTCATGAGAATACACAGAGAGGCAGAGACACAGGCAGAGGAAGAAGCAGGCTCCATGCAGAGAGCCTGACATGGGACTCGATCGTGGGTCTCTAGGGTCACACCCTGGGCTAAAGGTGGCGCTAAACCCCTGAGCCACCATGCCTGCCCCATGGGCATCTTGGGTTGGGCTCCCTGCACTGTGATCTCCCACCCAGACCACTGGTTTCAAGGTCTCTGTTATGTCCTTGGGATAAATGAGCCAGATTCCAGTAACAGTCGGAGCCAGAAGTGTTCTACTCACTACTTTTATTCTCAGCCCTGAGGGCCAATGACAAGCTTGGCTGCGGAGAGGGAACTGGGGGTTGGCAGAAAGTGAGGCATCGCTGTGGAGAGGCTGGTTCTTCCTGGGTGAGTGTTGCTGGAGAGAGGGAAGGGGTGGCTCCTCCCCAGCTGAAGAGGCTAGAAAGGCAAGGCCGAAGGGGCAGGAACAGCTAACGTGTTGGGTGTCGGGGAACACTGTCCCCTCTCCCTGCACCTTCCATCTTGTCCATGGGCCTGGGTCTTGGGGCTCCAGGTTGGAGGATGAAATGGGAGTCCGCCTAGCTCTTGGGCCACCTCCTTGGGCCACACACTCCTGACAGATGGGGGCTTGGGCAACAGAACGTTCCTGCATCGTTAAATCTGTGCTGTTCTGACATGACCTGTGTCCCAGATGATGGAGAGCCAGGTGCCAGGGTGTTGTGGAAGGAGCTGCGGGGTGGGAGACAGTGAGTTGGGGGAGCAGTGTGTAAGGGAAGGAGAAGAAGGGCTAGGGTCGGGGATAGAAGGGAGCAAGGAAGCAGTGGCCATGCAGTGTGGGCTATGTGCTGGCATCCGCATCTGCTGTTCTCAAATGATAGCTAAGGAGAAGAGAAGCAGCAGGTTAGGGTTGGGGTCGCCTGTTGTCCCTGCCCCTTCCCGGTATCCTGGGACCTCATAGCAGTTGAGGACTCTCCACCCCTCCCGTCCCTAGTAGTGGTCCTCAGGTGTGAAATGGATGTCTGGGGGAGGTTGGAGAACAGCCCGGGGTCAGGCTGTGCCAGCCCTCCATCCATGAGGGATTTGGTCCCTGGGGGGCTAAGCTGCTGGGGACCAGATGACCCCTGCAGGGGCCCTTACCTTGGCCCAGGTCCTACTTGGCCATGCCCAGCCCAGATGACAGGTCTTCCATGTCCAGTGGCTCTGCAAGGGAGCAGCAAGTGCATTTGTCACTTGGCGGTCCAGCGTCCCACACCCATTGACAAGGGGCCTGGGTCATCCTTCCCAGCCTGGCCACCAGCCTCATGCTGGGAGCAGGCGCCAAAGGGCAGGACTCTTGTTGGATGGCAGCAACCAGGTGTGGTCGGGGAAGGCCAAGGGAGGGAGTGATGACGTGAGATAGGTGGGCCTGCGGACTCCTGGGTGCACCGTGGGTGGTGCACAGCTGTGTGAGCATCCGCAATGAAGGATGGGACGGAAGGACAGATGATAGGTAGATGAGTGGATGTAAGGAGAGGAAGGATGGATGAGCAGATGAGGAGCGCACAGGCAGGTGATGAAGTGGATGGACAAAGCAGCAGCTGAGTGGCTGCCCCCCCGACTGGAGCTCGAGTGTCCGGCCCCACGTGTGCCTTCTTGGTCCTTCTGCTCCTCTGACACTCCCTGGCCGAGTAGGCACTGCTTACCACTGCAGTTATGGTGCCCGTGGCTCCTGGTGTGGGGGACCTCGGTGCCGTTGGGGAAGACGCACCAGCAGTAGCCGGTGCTCCCATAGCACTGGAGCGGCTTATAGTTGCCGTTCTCGTCGCACTGGGGCCTGAACGTGCCAGGGTGGACATCGGGGATGCGGCTGACCTCCTCCTGGCACTTGGTCAGTGCTGAAGCGACAGGCATGGTGAAGACACAGTGAGTGAGCAGGCCCCGGGCCAGAATCTCAGCAGAACCAGAGAGCCACATACCACTGCTGTGGGCCTACGGCCTTCTGCCCAAGTGGCTGGACTCAGTCTACCCATTGCATAGATGGGGAAACTAAGGCAGGGACCAACAAAGTCTGAGATCAGAGAGGAAGTGATTGGCCATGTGGCTATCTTATCCCAGAACTCGCTGATTTGTGGCCCTCAATGCCTATTGAAGTTTGGATTTACACCTGTGACTCTTATTTTCAGGGAAAAACAATGGGCATCTTGCTCAATGGGCATCTGAGCTTTTGTTACTAGAGTTATCCAAGTACAAATGGAGCTTTGAGGATGTTGTAGAGGATTCATACATCAGCTGGGAGTTGGTCAAGATGGCCTCAAAGGTGCCTTCTATGAATCTATGATTAGAAAATTGGAGGCCTGTGCTAGGGTGGGCCATTGATCTTCCACTTCCAAAACTGAAGCCCAGAGGGAAGACACCTGCCTAAAGTTGCACGGCATATTAGTGCCAGGATGAAGACATGGCACTCTTGAGACTTTAGGGCTGAAAAATCTTAACATACATTGTCCACAAGATGGAAAAACCCCACGTCCTCTTGTCTGGCACTTGCTGGCTGTGTGAGCTCGGGGAGGTCCCTCTGAGGGTGGTGGGGTCATGAGCCCCGCTCAGCCCCCTCACTAGAACCCACGCAGTGCTGAGTGGAGAAGGTCGTTGTGACGACACCTGGGATATCTCAGGTCATTTTGCTCCAGTCCCACTTATGCAGTGCCATCCTCAACAAGGGAGGTCTTCCTCCAAAGGGAGAACTGAGGAGGAGCAGCCAAGCCCAGAAGGAACAGGCAGGAGAGACAGGAATAAGAGTTGAGAGACACGAGGAGTTCCGGTGCTTGGATCTGGGAAAGCTCTAGGTCCTAACCTCTGCAGCTCCAAGGGAGCCCTGAGGGAGCTTCCAGAAACCCCGGCATCCCAGGGCTCCTGCTCCCCATACCTTTTAGTGGAACCTCAGTGCTCTTCTTCTCCAGGGAGTTCTTGCTCATTTCAAACAGGAGCCACTGATACATCCAGTTCTCAAAAACCTAATGGGAAAGAGGCAAGGGGTCAGACTCCAGAGCCCCCTCCAACCCTGCCTGGCTTTGCCCCTGGGGACAGAGATGGAGGATCCAAGAGGGGACCCAACACCCCAGAGTCCAGCTACAGCCTGGTTCCCTCCTAGAGACTCATGGGCTTGCGTCAAGGCAGTTCCTCAACCCCAGGCCCTCTTCATGTCTGTGGCTTTGTTGGTGCTGGTGCACCTCCTCTGGCTTCCCGAACCACCTCCTACAGCGCCTTCCCCAGCCCTATCCTCGGTGTCAGGAATGAGAGGGAGCCAGCGCAGGGAAAGCTGCTGACCTTCCAATCCAGGGTCTCCATGGTGTTCTTAAGGTGTTTCAGGTTCTCTGGGAAGCTCCCCTTCAGCTTTGGGTACACCTTCAGGGGGTCCGCCTCCTGTGGGGTAGCAAGGCAGGAAGGAAGGTCCAAACAGAGCTCCCTGGCAAGGTGAAATGTGCAGCCCATGTTCCCCTGGACCTCTGCATAATGGAGCCAAAGAGTGGGGAGGTAGCAAGGGCTCTCCAGCTGCTCTGCTACCTGATCCCAGGGCTGGGAGTTTGGAGACCCAGGTTCCAGACCCGGATCTACCCATAAAGCCCCAGTCTTCTACTCCTTGCAGACTCCCACTCACCTTTCAGGTCTCCCCTCCTCAACACTCCCTCCCCTCCCCCCACTCAGTTGGGTCCTGGCCTCTTTCCTCACAAAGCTCTCCGCATGTCTGTGTTAGCCTGGGACTCCCATGGGGTTGGAAGCAGAGTCTGATTGCTTCCCAATGTGAGCCCACAGCCTGGCACAGGGCCTGGTGTAGAATAGATGCGCAGCAGAAATTTGGGCAGGAAAGATGGGCATCTTGAGCAAGTCACTTTCGGGCTGTGGGCCTCAGATTCTCCAAACACTCAACAAAGCAGATGGCAGGGCTAGACTCCATATGACATTTTAAGGGCCCCACTGGCATTCTTTCACTAATCTGGTGAGCCCAGAATGGTGCAGACCGTGAAGCGCACTGTCATGGGCACCCCGGGTTGGGCAGGCAGGACCACCAGCCAGATCCCACTCACCAGAAGCAGGTGCATCACGTGGTCCTGTGTCATGTTGCCGTACTCGGTGGCATTCTGTGTGGGCTGTGGAAGGAAAGAAGAGGGGGTTACCAGTACTGACCCTCAGAGGAGGGGTGCTGGAGCAGAGCAGGCAGCTGGGGTCCCAGGTGCTCAACAGGATCAGGCCCATCTCCACCACCTCCAAGTGTGAGGACAAGGACGAGAGCTCCAGCAAGTCACTTTACCTTACTGCGGGCAAGGTCCTTACTGGGCAAATCTGCATAAGCTTTACTGCCCAGGGCTTTGTGCCTGCCCAGCAGATTGTTTATGACAAACATGACCCTATAGGACATCAAGGACTTTGGGAAGGGAGGGGGCTGTGAGATGCTCTGCAGAAGCATTTTGTAAACATCCCAGGGATGGGATGTTCTCTCCAGCCCGGGAGCCCTCCTCTTCCTAAGGCAGGCTCTGTCCTCCTCCAGCCATCCGTGCCCCCACCCCTCAGCTGGGCCTTTCCTGGCGCAGCTGTTCTCCCCTGTCCCTCGGCACCTGCCCTGCACCCAGACTAGATAACACCTCCCCCGTTCCACC